TTGTTATTAGATCAACATTCTCTAATATTTATTAAACTATCTTAAATTTCAAATTTTAGAAAAGTTAATTCTTATTTTAGATTTGGATAATAAATCAATTAAAAAAACTCAACAACAATTTATTTATTTATTTATTTTTCAGGATTTCACCTGAGGCAGCTGACCCTCCTCAACTGAAGCTGGCTCCGCCACTGCTCATGAATTAAAATCGAGAGGAATGAAATCGAAGGGATGAACAGATTATGCTCTGATACCATATCACAACTTTGAATTTCAGCTCACGAACAAGAAAGAGAATGAAAATATATCTCATTGATACTCGAAACAATGTACAGTGTTTACATATATACTGGTCAAAGCTAAAGGAAACTTAAACCAGCAGACTAAACCAGTTAAACCGTAATTTAAGTTAACCAGTCTAATATGTATATATTATATACCAAAACTAATGAAAATCTATCGGTTTACAAGCGTTCATTGTTGTTCTCTGCTTAATTTTTCTGGATTCAATGAAAATTTAGTTGTTTGGTGTAATCGTTGTCTTTCTTTGTTCTTTACAATTTTTTGTTTATTGTCAAATTTTTATGGATTCTTGAACATGGTCTAATGGTGATTTAAATTTTTGTTTTTGCAGGTTAGGAGTCTAAATCTTGCAAGTCAATAGAAATAAATTCTGTGTAAAAAAACTTCAGAAATTACTAGATATGTCGTCTATTCTCTTCTCGGTCGCTCCATCGATGGCTACGACAACGTAAAACAGTTACAGCAAAGGAGAATAATTGCAGCCTAATGATCGCATGTATTGTTAGAGATGATCTCAAGTGTTATTAGCAACGTCTCTCATAGCCGCTAGATTTTCCAGCGTCGTTTTTTGGTAATGCAACCACTGTAGCAGCAATTCCTTTTTCCAGCAGCATCTCCAAACACCTCTGACATCTTTTAAATGTCAATTAATAAGTGGTTTTTACATTTATAGTTAATTATAAACTAGCGGATTTAATATATATATTTAAATAAATTTACATTTTTAATATGCTATCTGGAATGCTAGACTATAATTAAAAACTATATTTCCATATGATAAAATTTACATACATTGATTATTAAACTCTATATATCATTTCGTCCATAACATAAAACTCTAAAACTCTAAAAACCGAATTAAACATTATTATCACACACCTAAATATTGTTTTATTTTAAATTTTAACCAATAAAAATTAAGCCCGCCCACTTCTTTGACGGGTTAAAATCTAGATGTGGAGATAATATATGTGTAAGATGATATCAGCAAACTCTATGTACCAGATGTGGAGAAAATAGAAACAACTTGTGACTGCTTGCTTATTTCCAGAGTGCATAACAAATCCGAATCCAAATCACATTGTCTGTCACCGAGCTTCAAGGATGGAATTGGTTAGGTCGGGAACAGTCCAAGATTGCTGTTTTGTTGATGAGGAACCAATCTCAAAACGACCGACAGAAAAACCAGGCAGTTTGGGCTGTTCCATCTCGGTTCTCTCGCTCGTGAGCATCAAAATCACAGACGACATCGCCGGTCTATCCTCTGCACATTCTTGAACACACAAGAGACCAATTTGTATGCTCCGTAGAACCTCGTGTGGTTGAAATGTTGGTGATGAATCTACGATAACCGGATCTACCATCTCCAGCCCTTTTCCTTCCTTCCAATTCCTCCACACCTGATCATCAAAAACAGAGCTTTTAGTCTTAGCGTTTATGAATCGAATCACACAAAAAAAACAAAAACAGAAAAAACAAAGAATTTGATTGGTCAAACTTACATAGTTTAGCAGGCTTTCCTCGTTCGTGTGGAAGAATTCAGTGTTTCTCCTTCCAGAGATAATCTCAAGAACCAATACGCCAAAACTGAAGACGTCTGATTTGACGGAACAAATCCTGTCTATGGCATATTCGGGGGACATATATCCGCTGCAATGCATCATAACGAAACAGTTGAGATCAGTCTTGTCCAGAGTTTTGTTCTACAGTTTCCAAAAGATGACAGTGAAAAACGTATTTACTTACTACGTTCCAACTACGGTGCTTGTAGCAGCTTCTGTCTCATCGCTTCCAAAGAGCCTGGCCATCCCAAAATCCGCGATCTTAGGGACCATATCTTTGTCCAGAAGAATGTTGCTGGGCTTCAAATCCCGGTGATGATTTGACACCGAGAATCTTGGTGAAGATACAAGAGTCCTCGAGCAATACCAGTGGTAATCAGTAGTCGCTTCTCCCAATCAAGCTTAGAGCTTTGGGTTTTGTCTACAAATTGAAACCAAATAAATTTTAACTGATATATTGCAATGATGATAACATTCAAATAATCAAAGAGTAGTCGGCACTGACCAAAGATATATGTATCAAGGCTTGAGTTTTCCAGGAACTCAAACACCAGAATCATTTCGTCACCTTCGAAACAATAGCCAAGGACTTGTACGAGGTTTATGTGTTGAACACTTGCCATCAGCCTCACCTCGTTGGCGAATCCTTGCATGCCTTGTGCGGACCTTCTCAAAAGCCTTTTGACTGCCACTGTTTGGTTGTCCAACAGCCCCTGTAATAATGTTGATAAGTTACAAGGAATTTTGAAAATAATGATAGATATATATATATATATATATATGTATATATAAAATCAGATGTATTTTTCTTACAAACCTTGTAAACAATCCCGAACCCCCCTTGTCCAATCTTGTTAGAGTCAGAAAAGTGTTGTGTGGCCGTGGCAACAGTTAATAGGTCCATTGGTTCACATCGTAAAACCCCTATTGATAACATTGATATACTAATTCCATTCAGACAGAAAAGAAGATTAAAGATTTAAAGAAAGGCCGTTTATCACAAAACAACATACCAATACTTGTTTCTGTTGCTGCAATAGGTGCTTCTGCAATTGCTCTTGCTGGCCTCTTCTTTCTTCTCCAAATGCACGTCATTATGAAAATAATGCAACCCAGAAGAAGCACAATGGCGACTCCAACAATCACCATTATCATTTTGGTACTCTTCTTTTTTCTTTTTCTGTTTGCCTCAGCTGCCGCTTCTTAAGAAAGTACAAGTCAACATAGAGACAGACCCATTGTTTCAGAAAACAGAGAAAAGTCAATAAACTAACCTGCATCAGTGGCTGCCAATCTAACGAATAGGTCCTGCCCGGCAATGTTATTCTTGCGGAGATCGATGAGATCTCCGAACCAAATCACACAACCGGATCCACCATCTTTCATGTTTGTATTTGCATAGGCTGTACAGTTGCACATCTCAAGGCACTTGTCCTTGCATTCCTCCAGCCCGATTCTCCTGTTCACAATAGACTTGGAAATATCTGGTAACTTCATTTCGCTAAGCCGGACAAACCCATCTGAAGAGCAGTTCAACGATGTCTTCCTCTCACACCCACCTGTCCAGTCGTTCAAATCCCATGCCTCTTTGTACTTGGCCTCAAAAAAGTCGATGCAATGGCAGTCTGGTGATGCGTCTCTTCTACAGAGACCATTCGCTCCACATAGATTGTAGCTGCCACACGCGTCATCTGGGAGAATATGCATTATTGGTTTCCACATTTGCTGTGGTTTAGGAATCCACGTAGTCCGGTTCAACAGGCCGTCATAGGATAATCTCAATACTGAGAAGAAACTCTCATTCGTGGTTCTGAAGAAATATGTTGCCTCCTCTTCAGTCACGGTGATACTATATGTCCCGTAGCTCAAAGTTTCACTCGTTTCCTCGACGTCGTTTAGGGTTTTCCATATATCACTCCGGAGGATTGGCACACCTTTCTTCCGAATGAAACTCTGCGCAAGCTCATTTTGTTCTACCGCATAAGTGAATTCCCCTGATGACGGATCATCAGAGCCTCTCCAGGATCGCAGTGTCCGGTTAATGTTCGTTTTGGCATCCCACCCCAGTTTCATCCCGGAGACTAGAGTATCTGTGGGAAAATCGAAGCTCTGCCACTCATATGAGGCGACGTTGTTGGAGTATCTCAAGACTAAGTTGCCAATGTCAAGAAGCTCAACAATCAGTGGCGACTTGTTCAGATTTGTGCTAGTCACATTGGTCCACCAGACACGGTTACCGTATTGGTCAAGGAGGACGAGGTTGGTGTTGATGACCTTGAGCTCTCCAATGGGCTTGGAGAGTGGGCGGTCTCTATTTGCAACCCATACCATTTCCTTGGGCAGTTTGTAGTGCCATATGCCCACATACCAACCTCTGGAACCTGCGCTTGGCTTGAAAAGGCCGCAGACAAACTGTTTCTTAGCGGACATGATGTTTTCTCTCTGGGATAAGCTATATGCTTGGGCGTATGAATCCAGGGACGATACTGTAAGAAAGAAAACTAATAGAAAAGAGATAAACCGCATTATGTTCTTTTGTGTGTTTTCATTGTTTTGAATATTGATCCTTTCTTTTATAGTTTTATATATTCAGCTCGCATTTGACTTTTTAACTTCAACACTACATGTGATAATAAATTTGAAAACATATCAAATGTTAGTTTATCAAAGCATCTTTGAATCTAGAGATTGCATTTATTTACAACCTGGAATTAGTCTTCCAAATTTTAATGGAACTCACTTTAATATCGAGTGGACATTTTAATCATAAGAAAATAAACAAAACGCTTTTTGTAGAAAAAAAATGAAAGTTGAATTCAGTGGTATAGTTAGAGACAGACAAGATACCAATCAAGAGAATTGTTAGTTGCGGGTTTAATTTTTGTGGGTTTTGGCTTGATCCAACAAACACTTGGATACCATTTCCTTTCTACCCAGACACAACTAGTCAACTACTACTAAGCCCACCGGTTCGAACCGGAACAGAATAAAACAGTTACCACACCAGAAGATCTTTACATAACAAGCAAATATCGTTAGCACTTCAAGAAAAAAAAAATGGAAAAAAAAAGGAGAAATTTGGCATTGATTAGTACCAATTTTTTTTTTGTTAATCGGTTTTGGTAGAATCAGGGGTTAAACAAAAATGATAAAAGAAATTGTTTCACTGAAGATGACAAGTCAATTGTACATACAAGAAATTATTGATCGACTCAAAAGTCTAAAGATCAAAAGCTATAAAGAGTGTACAAGGAAGTGAAGAAACTAACAGTTGGACATAGTTGTGTGTGTTTCTTCTAATTGCAAATTCACACACCACTTTCAAGCAAGCCTTGAGCATCTATAAGATAGTAAGATTCAGGAGGAGGATGAACATTAAATTAGTTTCTGGACTTGCTCATACTCATCAATGCCTTGAACATCAGACTCTTGTTCCCCTTTCTCGAACAAGATTGCTTTATCTCCACTATCTCTCTATTTCTCGACACTGATATCGCTCTTTGTGGCTCCGGTAAGGCCTTTTCATCCACAAAAAAGAAAAAACACAGAGCAGAAGAAGATTCACTAACTATGTTGATAACAACTGAAGCTGAATATATATTATATTAACTAACCAGTATTCTTGGCTGGCTTGGGGAGCTTGAACGTTTCAGTAGAGATCCTGAACGTAAGAGAGCAAATCTCATAGGAGAGTTTGTTCTTTTACCTGCAACATCCACACACACACACTTTACTTTAGTTTGTCTGAAATTATTTTAAGGAAATATCATTGTCTAGTTGTTGTTGTACTACTTTGTGTTCTGTTGCTCATGTTGTTGTGTAGGATGGGTGAGAAGGAGAAGCTTCCTGTCTTGTTAGTAGCTTTCCTGCATTCGATTATCCGAATTACAAAGAATCAATAAAACCCGAAACAGAAGAAGAAGATTAGAATCAAGATTCTACCTTGCAGTATTTGGGTGGTTTTCCAGTATTGTTGATCGAACAGCTTTCAGGGCAGACCAGGAGAAAGATTCAGATAACATACGAGAAAAAAAACCAGAAACAAAAAAAAAACAATAAGATATTGAGTTACCACTCTTGAATCGATGGGAGTCATCTCCTGCAGAGAAGCTTGTGCCTCTTTGTTCACCTCTTCCATGTTCTAGTACGCAAGAATTTGTCATAAAAAAAGATTTTGATCAGATTGAACGATGATGGAATGGATCAACTGTGTGGGGTTAAAAAAACGAAGAGAGATTTTTAAAGGATATACTAGGGAAGAAGTAACGCTTATGATGGTGAGGAGTTTGAATGAGAAAGCAATGCTGATAAGTCCCACTCTTCCCCATATACTCTCTGCATAGTTTCATCCTCTACAGCAACAACACACATATATGAGAGAAGTACTTTGATTACAGTTCCAAGACTCAGAGAATGCTTACTTGTTCGAGAGAAGATAAACGAAGATGCGTGATGGAGAAATGGGTTGAGTTATCAGAGAGAAAGGAGTTGAATTTGTCAGAGACAGAACCAAGATGATCCACTGTGTTCACTACTGCCTTAGCTGCATACTCTTTCAACGTTTCTATCACCCTAACATTAACACCATTCATTCATTTCCTTGCAAAATATTATATCAAGAAAGAGAAAAATAATAGTTACGTTTCTTTGTGTTCTTCTTTGCCATAAGATGTTTCGAAGTACTCAGCAGCTGAGTATAACTGTTTCCGCAAGTTCTTTAAGTCCTTAATCATCCAAAAACAAACAAAAACAAAGCAAACAGGAGAGAAGATGAATCTTGAATGAAGACAAAATCACAATCCTAATGATCAATCTATGCTTGGGGAAAGAGATAGAGAGAAGGATCAAACCTTGAGAGTTTCTGAGAATTGAAGAGTCTGTTTCATGAAGAGTTCGTCATGATTGGAAGATTGATGAAGAACGATCGCTAAAGATGCAGAGCTCGCCATTTGTGCTCCGATTTAATGAGATGTGAGAGAGAAGAAGAAGAAAAAGAAGATAATGGAGTAAGTAAGAGAGATCCAAGTGGAGCCACTGCACACTATTTAACACATTCCATACGTTATTTACAAGTTAAATTTTTAGAATAAACTGTTAATTATATCAACGAGAATGAAATTAATTTTCTTTAAAAGGACTAAAAAGAAAGAAAAAAACAATTGAACTTCTTTGTGATTGGGTAAGAGGAGACTTAACATTATAAAGCAGCCGACAAATCAACCCGGAGAAATGCATTTAGGCCACATATTCGCTAATCTGAAAATTTAATAAAATTATTTTAGAGCATTAATGATGGGATCAAATTATAAAATACACAAAGTCCAGAAAAAATGAGGAAGGAAATGATAGTTGGAAAATAATGGAGCAGAAAGTAGAGAAGAGTAGCAATTTTAACATTTTGTTAAATTAAAGAGAAAACAACTTGTCAACAGTTTTGAATCTCTTGTCCCTTTCAAAAAGAAAATATCAACACAAACATACAAGAGAAGTGGGACACAGAAAGGAATCAAAGTTCATGTGAAGTTGCATTATAACCCAACCAGACGACAAAAACACGCCCAAGATTGTATTTCGGATCACCCAAGTAAGAAGGGAGTCCTCAAAATCTCACATGATAAGCAAAGAGTTTATGACCAAAAAAAAAAAAAAAAATGAAACGATTCCAAATTGAAGGATAAAGAATTGAGGGGGAGGATTAGACGATACGCTCGAGCTCTCTGAGAGTGTGGTTTGATGAGTTGCAGAGACGGAAGGTGCCTGCATGGTGCAGTTTCTTTGGCTTTCTGGAACACAACAAAACCCATCTCTCACTTCCCAATCCGGGTGCTCCTCATTGACATATGTTAACAGTCGTTGATCAGAAGAGAAGAGCAACATCTTACGACCCGAGCTGATTCGTCTGCTATCTCATCTCTACACAAGACAATTAGCCAAAGGCTCGATACCTTATATATATTTTGATGATGGAAGCGTCTTTGATCCTCTGTTTTAACGCTTAGAACAACAGCATGCTCATCAGATATATATATATATATATATATATATATATATATATGTCCCCCTGAATATAACGAGCAAAAGACTATCAATTGACACATTTGAAGAGTCCAACCAGTAAAATTGGTAATGCTTCACCTAAAATCCAGGAAACCTTACTAGCAATTTTCAACTCGTGAGCTGCATTGTGAACTTGGTCAGAATTAAGGACCTGAGCCAGGAACATATACCAAACAAAAAAAAAGCTAAATCAAATTTTAGGTTCTACTCACTAAGTCGTCACCTACAACCCATCAGAAATAACTGGGACACGTGAGCATACTGTATCGATAGATCTGAACCATTTGTGGTAGTAATCACCAACAAATATTGGTAACAAAAAAAAAATACATTTGAGCTGAGACAAGAGATTAGAGAAGGTATCGAAATCATTCCTTATAAACGCCGCCTTGAAGCTCGAAACCTCCGTTAGTTGCGGATCCATCTCCAACTGTTGTTTAGTATCCGCACACAAGGTTACTTTAGTAAATGTATATAGGTGAAGCTCGGAGATTCTTATTTAGATAGAGGTGAGGTCGATGTGATATTTTCGAGGTATTCGAGCGAGGTTGATTAGGCAAGGTAGAAGTTAGCGATTATAAGTATCGAGTTTTTTAGTCTTTATTTCAGATTACGGATTCCGTAATAAATGAGGTTACAAGGCTATTTATAGTGTTAAATTAGGTTACATTTCGGTCAGAATAGCTTGGGCGACCGGGTAGATAGACCTGACCGACCGTCTATCGGAACGTCGTGCTGGCGAGCTATTTCATCTACATCAACGTGGCGAGTTGTCCCATCCATGTCGAGGTGGCGAGCTGTTCCTTTGATACAAAAAGGTCATCTCCCCAAACAACCTCGTTTTACTCTTTGTGAATAGGCTTGTTGCTCTTTGATCTTATTGGGCTTGATCGAAATTACGAAAATGGGGGCTGTGCTCAGCCCACCTACAACAATTGTCTCCCCCCAGTCCGTTGATGGAGATGTTACTTCGATATTCAACGCATCGAGCTGGAGAACTTTCATTTCTTTGGACCTCGATATCGATGTCGGGTCTTCGGAGTCGAGGTGATACTTGGGAAGCGAAGAGTCGCAAAAAGCAACGGTCGTCTTGGGCAGCGAAGAGTCGCAAAAAGCAACGGTCGTCTTAGGCAGCGAAAAGTCACGAGTGGAAGCGTGATTTTCGGGAAGCGCGTGGAATCCGCCACTAAATAAAGTACTGGGAAGCGTCCGGATCATGATTACTTTCCTCGGTAACCGCTGTTTTTTCTTCCTTATATATTATGCTCTCCTCCTCTTCTTCTCATTTTCTTCTCTGTTTACAAAAGATAATCCTGCTCTCCCTTCTCTCTAGAATTCCTTTCTCTCTCTAGAACTCGTCCTTTTGTTATTTTGTTTTTATTGTTATCCGACATCGAGTAATGTCTTTGGGGGGTCAGCGTATCGAGTCGAGCTTAGAGTCTGGCTCCAGGTCCGACCAGGAAGCTTCTAGGAGTGCTAGCTCTTCCCCTGAGGTGTCTTCGAGGTCTGACACCCAATCGGATTGAGGAGAGTCTCCATTGGTTGAATTGGCGGATCGAGTTCGTTCTGATGGGGCATCTCCGCGAGGCGAATCTACGAATCTTCAAATAGTTCCTCTTGTGGAGCGTGATGGCGATGCTACTGAGCACGCCAAAGAAGAGGTTGGTGAAGGGGGCGAGGAGGAGGATGAACAGGGCGAGGAAGAGGAACAAGGCGAAGAAGCCAGACCTCGACGTAAAGGTTCCAAGCGCAAGGGAGCCATCAAGAATCGACTAGTTAACATTCCGTCTCAGATGACGGCTCAACGCCTCGAGGAGTTTCAGTTATGATACGGTTTTCGAGGTGAGCTGATGGCGCCAGGACCTGAGGATTGACCATGGCTGGCTCCGGAGGGCTGGGTTACGCTTTACGAGGCGTGGTTCAGTCTCTGTCATCTTTGGGTGCCTTTGCCGAGGCTGTTGACCGATTATGTCGATCGGAGGTGTATCGCTTTCTCGCAGATTCTTCCTGCGGGGATCCAATTTATGGTCGCGGCTCTTTTGTTCGGGAGCGAGGTCAGGGTTGATGTTGACTGGCGCTTCTTCGAGGAGATGACTACCGTCCAGAAGAATAATCCGATCCCAGGCACATATACGATAAAGGCCAGGAAAGATTGTTCCTTGGTTTACCCCGTAAACAGGACGCCAAGCTGGGGCCTGGGAGGCGTCCTTCTTTTATGCAAAGGTGGATGAGGCGCTGGTAGTTGATACGACCAGAAACTTTAGGAACGAGTGGAGCAGTAGCATCGGTAGATCGCTAATTCGGTCATATCTCGAGTCTTCCCTTTCTTTTACTGATGTTTCTTTGTTTCTCGCAGAGCAAAACGTCCAGCTCGAAGCTTTCCCAGAGAATTTTCACGTGAATATTCAGAAGATCAGGGCCGTTGGGATACAGCATTGGCCTGATATACATCGTCGACGAGTCGAGGCTTCCATCACTCGCATCACGAACGGTAAGCTCGACATTTTTGATATTTCTTCCGTAATCGACATCGTCTAATACGTTTTTTTTGTTTCAGCTAGTTGGAGGAGGGAGAATAATCTACGGGAAAGAGCAATTGCAATGGCTCCAATTCAGGTCAACGCGCCTAGCCTCGCTGCACGCTGAAGGCCAAGAAGAGCGGGAGTAAGGATCGGGGTCCTTCTGCATCTCGGCCTGCACGCACGGATCCGGTGCTGGCCCAAGAAGAGGTCGAGGTTATTCCTCAACGCGATGTGAACCTCGAGTCCGTTGATGAAGGTGGGGTCGAGGCTCAGAGTGCCGAAGACCAAGTGGAAGCTCGGCAAGTAGACGATGAAGCTGACGAAGCCACGCAGTCGGCGAGGCGCGAGGAGAAGAAGCAAAAGAAGAGGAAGCGCGAGGAGAAGAAACAGAAGAAGGAGGAAGCCGAGGCTGCTCGCCTCGCCGAGAAGAAGGAGGTCGCCGAGGCTAAGGCGAAAGGGAAAAAGAAGAAACCTTCCGGGGATGGCGACGATGGCGGTCGAGTTGGAGCGGAGGCTGCGAGCAAACGACCTAAGGTTGATCCACCTGCTAATGACAAGGCCAAAGAGATCGACTGGAGCTTTTCGTTCGAGTACCCCGAGTCGAACGAACCGTTTGTCAACAATGTTGATAAATGCGCAGAGCTGTTCGGGATGATAAAGGGCTCCACCTCCGAAGTCCCTCCTGGTACTGATGGGGCTTTCAAAGACATGGCGAGCTTCGCCTTCAAGGTATGTCTAGAATCTTTACTTTACTATACCCTGTCTAGAATCTGTGAGTTCGACTGAGAAAATTTTTTTATTTTCATTTTTAGTTCATCGCGAGCTGCAACCGCGCAAGGGGTCAATACATGCGTTGGCTCCGGAATGGTGCTGCTCGGCTGAAGGATGCTCAGGCTGCGGGTGAAAAGGCGGTGAAAGAGCGTGACACCGCTATCGAGCAGCGAAGGGTCGCCGAGGACAATTGGCAGACCATGAGAAGAAAGGCGGAGCAGCTCGATGCAGGGGTAAAGGAACTGACCGACAAGATCGAGGCGATGAAGCAAGAGAACCTGGATTTGGTCAACAACCTTCAGATTGTTAATGAGGCTAAGATCCAGGTCGAGAAGTCGATCGCCACTGAGGTTGTCCGGGCACAGCGACATGCTCAAGAGAGGATTGAGGCAGAGACGACTCGTATTTGGGCGGATGCTGAGGCCAAGTACTCAGGTCGAATAGATCGACTGAGGACTCGCATTGCTCAACAAGAGTCGATTGAGCGATTCAAGCTTGATCTCGTGCAGGCTCGAGGTACACTGGAATGCCTCGATCTCTTGAAGGAGCAAGAGATGTCTGAAGAGGAGTTGAGAGCCGAGCTCGAATCATCGAAGTGCGACTGCGAACAGAAACTCGAGAACCTCAGCCTCACATATCTTGAGGAAGGCGACTTGCCTCCGCCTTATCCCGAAACTCTGGATGGCGGTTCGGACCACGACGATGTCGAGGATGGAGAAAATCGTGAGGACGGCACTCAGCCCGAAGAGTAGATCTTGTCTTCTTTTCCTTGTTCTAGCATCACCCCCTTTTTTCTTCTTATTTTGTTTCTCTCTGTTTGTAACGCGGATACCCTTATCTTTATCAATGAATGTCGTTTTATCAAGTATTAGCTCGCTATTTAAATCGTAAAATGATTATAGATTCAAAATAAAACGTTTGATACGAGGTGAAAATTGGTTTTAAAGAAACGATTGGGACGAAGTGAAAATCTGTTTAACAGGATGATCAGCACGAGATGAGACATGACTTAATAGAATAATACTTACGAATGATAGGTGCGAATGATAGGCGTGAGGTATGACTTAAAAGAATAATAAATGCGAGGTATGACTCGGCTTAAGAGGACATCAGGTGCGAGGTATGACTCGGCTTAAGAGGACATTAGGTGCGAGGTATGACTCGGCTTACCCTGTTTTATTTCATTAATCGTGTCCGAATAGTGAGAATGATCTCGACGTAGTTATTCGGGTGATTTAAGAAAGGATGCGGGACTGGTCCCGGCTTATTCTCTTGTAATCGTAAGGTTTTTGTTCCTTGGGATTTATTAAGAGTTTGCATTGTAGGGAAATGCGTATTAGAAGATCGAACATCTAGCTAGGATGTCGATGTAAAAGATGTCGATGTAAAAGGTGGCGATGTAAAAGATGTCGATGTAGAAGATGTCGATGTAAAAATTGGTATAAACAAAACTTTTATTAATAGCTGTACCTCGTGAGAGGTTGCCTACGTACCCAACAAACTGGGATCAAGCCGATCGTAGTTCACATTCGAGATCTAGCTCGACCGAGTATAGCTCGGTGAGCTTTTTTTTTAATTATTTTAGTAGTAATACCGCTTTATGTTCATCGAGTTCCATGATCGCGGTATCATTTCGCCATCCATCGTCATCAGCTCGTAAACGCCAGGTTTTACAACGTTGGTGATTTGGTAGGGGCCTTCCCACTTTGCGCCTAGTTTTCCGGCGCGGTATTCTTCGGTATTTTCGAACACCTTGCGAAGGACGAGGTCGCCAGCTTCAAAGTGCCTACCTTTCACTCGTTTGTTGTAGTAACGTGAGATTTGCTGCTGATAGTTTTGCATACGTAACAAAGCGCGATCTCGCTTCTCTTCGAGCTTGTCGAGGCTATCCTTCATCATTCTTCCGTTCCTTTTACCGTCTTGTGTCAACATCGTTTCTGCGTATGGTTGGTAGACCGACCTCGGCGGGAGCTAAGGCTTCCATGCCGTGAGACAACGAGAAAGGGGTTTTATTCGTCGATCGTCGCGGTGTAGTTCGATATGACCATAGGACTCCGTCTAACTCGTCTGCCCATAAGCTCTTCTTATCCTCGAGTCTCTTTTTGATGCCGTCGAGGATAGTCTTGTTGGTTACCTCGGCTTGTCCGTTTCCTTGTGGGTATCGCGGTGTTGACTTGCTAAGTCGTATTTTCCATTTGGCACAGAAGTCTTCGAATACATCGGAGATAAACTGAGGGCCAATATCGGTGACGATCTCGTAGAATACCCCGTGGCGGCAGATGATGTTTTTCGAGACGAAGTTCTTCACGTCGGTTGCTTTGATTTTGGCGTAGGATTCGGCCTCGACCCATTTCGTAAAGTAATCGGTGATGATAAGCATGAATCGTTTCTGTCGGGATCGAGGAAGTGGACCCACGATGTCCATTGCCCATCGCATGAAGGGATAAGGCGGCAAGGAAGTAGCCAGAAGTTCGGCTGGTGCATGGATCATTGGCGCATGTCGTTGGCATTGCTCGCAGCGAGCTACGAATCGATCGCAATCAGTAAGCATTGTCGGCCAAAAATGGCTGTGGTTCTTGATTTTCAGAGCGAGAGCTCGACCATTGGAGTGATTTCCACACGATCCTTCGTGTGTTTCTCGCATGACATCGAGCGTCTCCTCACCATGCAGACAGTTGAGCAGGGCGCCGGTCGAGCTCCAACGATAGAGGTTGCCGTGTGACTGAATGTATTTGGCGCTTCGAACTTTTAAACGCCTCGCTGCCCATCGGTCAGGTGGGACTTGGCCATCTGTAATGTAGAGTAAGATTTCGATCGTCCAGTCGTCGGTTGTTGGCTCTTGTTCAGCAGGCTCATCGATGACCTCGGGGGGAGGCAATTCTATGGCGTCTAATCTGTTTGCTTCGAGCTCTCGAACTGCACATACTCCTCGAGGTAGGCGTCTAATCTGGGGGAATCGATGCTTTCGACCGGGATCACGCGCCTTTGATGCGACTCGGATGTTGAAGCGAGAGCGGCCAGTGCGTCTGCCGAAGTGTTATCGCTTCTCGGAATTCTTGTGAGTGAGAAAAATTTGAAGCGATCTGTGATGCTCTTAACGGCTTTAAGATATAAATCCATCCGGTCGTTCCTAGTGTCGTAGTCGCCGCTGTACTGGCTAGCAACGAGCTGGGAGTCGCAGAAAGCTTCGATTTTCTTGACCCCGATTCCTTGGGCTAGACGCAGTCCTGCGAGTAGAGCCTCGTACTCTGCTTCATTATTGGAGGCTGGAAATTCGAGCCCCAGCTCTTTTGTCAGATACTCTAGTCGGATACTCTAGATACTCTAGTTCCAATGTCGGATACTTTTAACGATTGTTCCAATATCTCTTTTGTCGGATACTCTAGTCGGATGCCAATACCTGCGCCTCGGGACGAGGAGGATCCATCGACGTACAAGGACCACTTCTCGTCAGGTAGGTCGGTCTGGATTAATTCTGGCGGAAGCTCTATCAGTAAATCTGCGAGGACCTGTTATTTGGCGCTTGTCTTATTACGATACTCAATATCATATTCTGTCAGCTCGACAGCCCACTTCGCCATGCGACCTTACTGGCTCGGGCTGTGTAGTATCGTTCGAAGTGGTTGATTGGTCAAGACGAAGACTGAATGAGATTGAAAGTAAGGTCTTAGCTTTCGGGCAGACATGATGACCGCAAGTGCGAGTTTCTCCAAGGTTGGGTATCACTTTTCTGTGTCGTCCAGAGTCTTACTAACGTAGAAAATCGGTTTCTGCTCGCCTCGATCTTCTTTGAATAAGACGCCGCTTACCGCCGAGCTCGACACAGCGATGTAAAGGTAGAGAGTTTCGCCCGTTTTGCTAAAATTGGTGGGCTGGCGAGGTATTCCTTAAGTTGTTGCAAAGCTTCTTCACACTTGCTATCCCATTCGAAACGCTTGTTGCCTCGGAGGAGCTGATAGAACGGGAGACACTTATCTGTCGAGCGAGAGATGAATCGGTTAAGCGCTGCGATCCAGCCGGTGAGACGTTGAACCTCGCGAGTGTTGCGAGGTGAAGGGAGATTGATTAGGGCATCGATCTGCTTTGGGTTTGCCTCGATTCCTCGTTTAGTGACGATGTAACCGAGGAATTCTCTGGATGTAACGCCAAAGGTACACTTAGTCGGATTGAGCTTCATTTGATATTGGTTCAGAACGGTGAAGCAAGCCTGTAGATGACCGATGTGATCACCGGCGGTAAGTGACTTTACTAGCATATCGTCGATGTAAATCTCCATCGTTCGTCCCAACTGATCGGCGAAAATGTGGTTAACTAGCCGAATGGCATTACCTTATAACAGTAGGTCCTCCGGTCAGTAATGAAGGACGTCTTTTCGCGATCTTCGGGATGCATCGTGATTTGATTATACCCGGAGAAGGCATCCATGAATGACAGGAGCTCGTATCCTGCAGTTGCCTCGACGATTCGATCGATATGTGGTAAGGGGAAACTATCCTTGGAGCACGCCTTGTTGAGATCGGTGAAGTCTACGCAGATTTGCCATTTGCCATTCTTCTTTTTGACGACAACTGGGTTGGCCAACCATTCCGGGTATTTGACCTCGACGATCGAACCAGCCTTTGACAAACATTCGACCTCATCATTGACGGCTTGCGCCTTTTCCGGACCTAACTTTCTCCGCTTTTGTTTGATCGGTTTAACCGTTGGATCAATGTTGAGCTCATGACTTGTTATTTAGGGATCAATCCCAGGTATATCACGTACCGACCAGGCGAATGTCGATGCATTTTGGCGAAGAAGTCGTACGAGCTCGACCTTAATCTCCTCCTTTTGGTCAGCCCCGATTCCTACGCATCGTTCGGGATCGCTTTCGTCGATGTTTACTTGGACGACGAGCTCCTGCTTTGGTCTTTCTTGAGATGGCAAATCGACTTGAGTTACGGGTAAAATCGTAAGACACGCCTTGGCCGGGACCATGGACTTGAATCGAAGCATGTGCTCGGCGGCGAAGCAGAGTCTCGATATCTCTTGAGAGCCTCGAATGGTTTTTACCCCGAACGCGGTTGGGAACTTGAGGCATTGATGATATGTTGACGGCACCGCCTTAATGGGATTGTAGCCAGGGTGTTCCCAGAATTACGTTATAGATGGCAGGTTTGTCGATGACGACAAATTTGACGAGGCGGGTCGTCTTCGCCGCGTAGACCGGGAGTCTAATTGTTCCGATCGAGTAAACCGTATCTCCGTCGAACCCTGTGAGTGGCTTAACCGAAGACTTGAGGTGATGGTTTGCCAGTTCCATTTTGTCAAGCGTTTCTTTGAAAATCAGGTCCACTGAGCTTCCTGTGTCGACCAGTATCCGCGATACCTCGCAATCTGCAACCCGCAGCTCGATCACAAGCGGGTCGTTATATGGCATATCGACTCCCTCTGTGTCGGCCTCGGTGAATGTGATCGCATCACTTTCAGCTGTCTTAGAGCTTTTTACCTGCCATTTTTGCGCGAGCATGACCTGGCGGCCGTACTTTTTTATCGACCTGACGGAGTCGTTGCATGTCGATAGGCCTCCCATAATAAAGAACACCTTTTTTCGAGATGTCGGGGGAGTGTCACCTCGAGGCTGGTTACCTCGGTCTCTCTTCGTGAGATCATCGCTGGGTCGCTCGTTCGCTGGGGGAGGAGGTGGAAGCTGCTCGGTGGGAACTGTTGATCGAGCTTCGTTGTTATGCGGCGCGGTGTTTTGGGGCTTGTTTGCTAATGTGATCTCTCCCTTTCGATATTTCGCGAGCAAATAAGCCTGTAGTTCGCGACACATCGCAGTTGGGTGACCGTACTTGTTGTGATAGTCGCAGAAAGGTCGCGTCTCCCCGCGGTCTCCTCGTTGCCAGGTGTTTGACTGGTTTTGATACTGGCGATTCTGTTGCTGTGGAGTGTTAATGTTGTATGTCGCTCCCCGGCGATTGTCACCTCGATAGTTGTTGTCGAGGTGTTGTCGAGGTTCCTGATAGTCTTGTTTGGGGATTTCTTTGTGAGGCTGCTGTCTTGGCGTCGCCTTTGCTGGCGAGGCAATCTCTTTTTCTTCCTCATCCTCGATGTATAAGGTGGCACGGTGAAGCGCGTCTTCTAGAGTTCGGGGTTTACTGAACTTGAGGCTGTCCCGAAACTTCGTATCGATTCGTAGGGCATTCCGAAGGGCCGATAGCAACGCTTCGTCGGTCACGGTAATACGAGAAACGATCGCATTGAACCTGCCGATGAAAGATCGAAGAGATTCTTTGTCGCCCTGTTTGATCTGGAAAAGATCGGCACTGGAAACTGCGCCTTGGATGTACATCATGTATCTCTTGAGGAAAGCAGTCGACAATGCTTGGTAGCTGTCAATCGAGTTCGCTTTTAACTTGGAGAACTAAACTAGAGCTGCACCACTGAGATTTTCGACGAACAGCTGACAGAAACCAGCATCTTTCTCCTCGGGGGTGAATCGTGCTCGGCCCATTTGAATGTTGAACGCGGTCATAAATTGGCTTGGGTCCGAGTTGCCCGTATATGTCGGAAGATTAAACTTCACTTGCGTCCGTATCGGGAAATCGGTGACTCGGGTTGTAAACGGCGTGCTTTGGCTCTCTTTGAGTACGCGGTCGATCTCAGGCGCCGAGCTAGTAGCCTGATGTACTAGCGAGGTCATGGCTCGCAATTTGGTCCTCATTTCGTTCATTTCTTCATCTTGCTGCGAGTTTCTAATTTGAAGTCGACGCGTTTCGTGTTCGGGAGCTCCGATATTCACCTCGTCACAATTCGAGGCTGGGTGATTTTCTGTCGTCGGAGGTGCGGGAGAGTCTCCGAACAAGGCGCGCTGTACACGCTGAATCTCTTGTGCTCGTCTCTCCGGGGCTTGAGTCTCTGACGAATGCAATATGTTGACTTGGTCTTGACAAGAAAGTTGTGCCGCTGCTAGCTCGTTCAGGCGAGCACTTGTCTGATGATTCAACTCTTCCATTCGAGCCATCATCGTCGCAAATAGTGTCGCGACGTCAGTAGGAGCTGGTGTGCTTTGGTTTACATCTGGTGCTTCTGGGTGTAAGGTCGCGTTTTCTACGGGATTCATCGTCGGTGGTTGCCTATTCGAGGTTTCCGAGTTGGTAGCTGGTGATACGTTAAGTCTCTCCTCGGCGGTAGTCGATGTGGGTAGACTGGTTGTCTCGTTGGTTTGAATTCCTGACATTATCGAGCCCCTCTTTGCGTAGAAAGAAATCTCTTTGCCCCACAGTGGGCGCCAATTGTTGTTTAGTATCCGCACACGAGGTTACTTTAGTAAATGTATATAGGTGGAGCTCGGAGATTCTTGTTTAGATAGAGGCGAGGTCGATGTGATATTTTCGAGGTATTCGAGCGAGGTTGATTAGGCGAGGTAGAAGTTAGCGATTATAAGTATCGAGTTTTTAGTCTTTATTTCAGATTACGAATCCCGTAATAAATGAGGTTACATGGCTATTTATAGTGTTCAAATTAGGTTACATCTCGGTCAGAATAGCTTGGGCGACCGGGTAGATAGACCTGACCGACCCTCTATCGGAACGTCGTGCTGGCGAGCTGTTTCATCTACGTCAACGTGACGAGTTGTCCCATCCATGTCGAGGTGGCGAGCTGTTCTTCTGATACGAAAAGGTCATCTCCCCAAACGACCTCGTTTTACTCTTTGTGAATGGGCTTGTTGCTCTTTGATCTTATTGGGTTTGATCGAAATTACGAAAATGGGGGCTATGCTCAGCCCACCTACAACACCAACTGCTGCGAAATTTCCCTGCTGAGAGTAATTGGCTTGGTCGCAAAAGAAATGATGAGAATTCTGAAAAGGAATCGAGGAAGAAGAAGAACGAACAAATGACCCTTTTCCAATATGGGCCGTTTAATGGGCCTAAAAGATGAGAATCTAAACAACCCATTGTAAGAAGTCCATACTAAAATTAAAAATAGCCCAATAGAAGCTTCCGGGTATGTGTTAGTTTATTACGTGTCTTAAATTTGATGCTGACACAGTCAGTCACTCTCGTCAACGCGTTTTTGCGGGACTTTTTTTTTTCTTAGTTGGTCTGTCTGGTCCACAAGCCTTAGCCTCTAAGACAAATCAAAACCACTTTTTTTTTTTGTATTTTTCATAGAGAAAAAAATTAGAAAACTAATTATACTTTTTAGAAGAAGAAATATCTTTTAGATATAAATGTTGTTGACAAAAGCAAAAAAGGACTTTCTTCTCTCCGTAATCTGCCACGTTGTTCGTTCTTCTAGACCGCGTCTCCGCTACCTGCCGCCATTGCCACCTCACTCATTCAATTTTGTCCGATTGTTTTTTTTGTGGAAATATTGCATTTTTTGTTGGTTGTACAATAAAACAAAAAAATCCCTTACATTGATTAGTTTTCCTAGTTAACTATATTTCTTTCTTAATTAATAGTCCACTTTGTCAGATTCACACGCAACCTTGGCGAAAAAAAGGAAAATAATAATGGTGGGGTTTGTAGTCACTTTCCTGGAAATTTCTACTTTGTTGTACATGTATATACTTATATAAATATGATGATGCAGTCCCTCCAATTAAAACCTTACAACTTTTCGTACACAAATCTCTCTATTTGTTTGGGTTTGTTCTCACCAATCTCTCACCAAACATTGCTACTTGGAAAAATAAATAACCCAACAAATCTCACAACGAAAAATACACAGTTTTCTTGACCTCAAAACAAGAAAAGAAAAGAAAAGTGTGGAGATGGAGAATAGTAGTAATCAGCAATCGTTTTGGCAGTTCAGCGACCGATTGAGAGTGGAGACGCTGCAGAATAATCTGTCGTTGAACGACTCGATCTGGAGCACAAACTCTGTCTTCAGACAACGCAACGAAGAGCGTAGAAACTTGGACATCGCCGCAGACAAGAACCATATCGAGTATCTGAATCAGAACAGCAGCAGCAAGACTTATTCCGACATCAACAGCTGGAAGTCGAGCTCCAAAGGATTCGGACCCGTGGGCTCAAAATCGATCTCAACCGTCAATCTAAACCCAACCGACAAATTCAACGACACCTGGAAGTTCAACTCTGTTGACGTCAACGGTGATTTCAACAAGGGGATATATTCGAGCTATGATGGCTTCAACGTGGATCTGAAGAACAAGGGTGAGGATCATCATCACCATCAGCAGCAGCAGCATCAGATCCTTTTGAAAGCAGGAGGAGGAGGAGGGAAGAAGAACAGAAAGAATCAGAGTCATCAGAAGAAGAACAATAACAACAACAACAACGAAGATGGTTTGGGTTTGGACAAGAGGTTTAAGACACTTCCTCCGGCGGAGGCTCTGCCGAGGAACGAGACCATCGGTGGTTACATCTTCGTCTGCAACAACGACACCATGGAGGAGAATCTCAAGCGCCAGCTCTTCGGGTTGCCGCCGAGATACAGGGACTCGGTGAGAGCCATCACTCCGGGTCTTCCTCTCTTCCTCTACAACTACTCCACCCACCAGCTTCACGGTATTTACCAGGCGGCCAGCTTCGGAGGAACAAACATTGAGCTCTCTGCTTTTCAAGACAAGAAATGTCCTGGCGAATCCAGATTCCCTGCTCAGGTCAGGGCCATTACTCGCAAAGTCTGTTTGCCCCTCGAAGAAGATTCCTTCCGTCCCATTCTCCATCACTACGACGGCCCCAAGTTCCGCCTCGAACTCACCGTCCCTGAGGTTTGTAATATGTTTCTACACACACCAACTCTTCAATTCATTGATTAACCTTTCTGATTAATTCATTAATTCAATATTGTATTATATTATGTGTCACTCACACTACTACAAGATCCTTTCTTTCTTTTTTCAGTCACAAGTCTTTTTTTCTAAGTTTTGGTTCTGATGAATCTTGTGTTTTGGCAGGTGCTTTCTCTGTTGGACATTTTTGCTGAGCAAAACCCTTGATTTTGTTGGGAGAGTAATATAATAAACACACAAAATATCCAGTGGTTGGTGACTTTATTATGTAATAATCCAGTAAAAAGAGAGAGAGAGAGATCTACATGCCCGATTATATAAGGAAGTAGTATTTGTCTCAAGAAGATGGTGGTTCTTCTTCGGTTTTTTTTTTCTTTTAATATATATGTTTCTAAAGTAGTTTCCATACAAGAGAGGATCTATGTGAAATTAGAAGATGGGTTATTTTGGTCTAGGGGATAAAAAAAAATTAATCTCCCACTTGTTTGTGTAAAGTAAATAAAGTTTCATGTGTATACCCAAAAATTGAGACCGATCCGTTTATGTATATTGTTCTTTCTTCCCACCTGATTTTATCTTCTTTTTTTCCGTCTTTCATTCATCTGGTATTCTCCTTTATACATATTTAGATATTAGAAGACCAAGTATTTTTGCAATGGTCACCAAAAAATGCCTCACAAAAGAGGAAGCTACGGGTAAATGCCTATATTCACTCTACCTTATCCAAAAACTGACTTTAAAATGATATTTCAAAGCAAATCGATAGAGGTTTAGCTGTAACAACAAGTCTGATACCGTTAAGTACACTTATTCATTCTTTACGGAATATGTCATATGATTTTCCTGTTTTTCTTAAAAAAATAAATGTATATATAATAAACAGATGACTGATTAAAAAATCATAAATCAGTCCATCTTAATCGAAAATCGGAGAAATAATAAAGAAAAAAGAAGACAGAGACAAATGGCCAGCAATAGTTTGGACAGGTAATCTAAAAACAATAAATTCACTAATGCCTCAATTAGTTGATTTCATCACCAATGAAAGGAGACAAGTACAATGCATTTGTCACAAGAACGTAACAGACGCTTTTTGTAGGAAAAATGAAAGTTAAGTTCAGTGGTATAATTAGAGACAACATACTAACCAAGAGAATTGTTAGTTGTGGGTTTCTTTTGTGGGGTTGATCCAACAAACACTTGGATACCATTTTCCTTTCTACCCAGACGCTACTACTAAGCCCACCGGTTCGAAGCGGAACAGAATAAAAAAATTATCACACCAAAAGATTTCTACATAACAAACAAATATCGTTCGCGTCGACATGTCAAGAGCTCAGGCATATCATGCGAAGACAAACAAAGAGGCAGAACAAACACTATGACGGAGTAATACAAACGACACCACATGAGGGAAAATCATCATCTTATAAAAATTACACAACCTGAACCTGAACCGAGCAGAACGGTCTAGCATCTGATGCCTGTTTCACTTGGACCAAGCCACAGCGTCAATCTCTGATTGTGCAGCTCGGTACAACTCCAGCCTCTTAGATATGGCACTGCGTCTCTCCATGATCGCTGGATCTTCGTTCAACAACGAAGAGAGCCTCTTCATCTGTTGGAAATGGAAATTCACCAGGCCTTATGTTTCGGTAACTCGTTGTTTATCCGTATTGAGTATTGACGCACACTTGTCTATGTTTATGAAAAAAGGCAGGAGAGAACTTACGTCCATGGTACCGAGCTCGGCAAAGAAATGGTCGAGGAGGCTGCGCTTGGCTTCTCGCACTTGGCAGTAGACGATGGACTTTGGGATTGAATTCCGCAGGCCAGCACAGACCATGTTCACGTAAGACAGAACATTGGATCCTGTTGCCAGATGTGAAAAGGTGAGTGAGGTAGGAACATATATATCGCACCAGAATACTACATATAAAGGATATATGCTTTTAACCTACCGATGCGTCTGAGATAGGAATCGTTGTAGCGGTCGAAAATGGAGTGCGTAGGGTTACCACCCTTCTCAACATCCTGCGGAAGCTTCCTGAAGAAATCAACAGTGAGGTAACTGCACTCCATGTCCACCAGCTGCAGTGTTGCTTTCTTACTTCCCTCCCGCATTTTGTCCAGCGACTCTATGGCCGCGTTTGTCACCTCCACTCTCAGAGCTGGGTATTGCTTTAATTCCTGCACATTTTCAAGCGGTCTATAACATTGGACCAAAGTGAACAAGTCGTTCGAGGTATATGTAATACTAGAAGAAGAGAACGTACCACCGTCTCATTCACAGACTTGTGAACCAGATCCTTCAAGATTGCATGAACCTAGTAAAATTAAAAACCCCATATAAATGTTAGGCTACTGATACATTTTGTTAGGCTACTGATTCATTTTGCTTAAGAGATGCAAGTTAGAGTTGGTACAGTGTCAACAGAAGCTTCAGCAGGGCCTCGGATGGAGACAATAGAAGACTCAATGAGACGACGATAACCTTGCTCAGGAGCAATCAAGTGAGGCTGGTAACCGTCAGCCTCAGTGACCAGCTTCCGGATGTTGTCCATTGCTAGCTGCTTGTCAAACTGAAGCCTTTTCAGAGCCGCCGGAAGCTGGTTATCAAACACGTTATACACCTTTTCACCACCAGCACGTCTGTGTCATCAACCATAAGCTCAGAATTATAAAATTGGTCAAATTGTCAAGAGTCATATCAACTCAGACACTAACAACTCATGGTTTAATTTTAAACATTAGCAGCAAAAATGCTCAGAACGTACACTCCATCGAGATGCTCCTTGAATATTTGATCGAAAAGCCGACATATCTCCATTATTGAGTACAACTTCCCCTGCACCAATACAGTAACTATTAAATCTTGATAACAAAGAGTACGAATCAAAAACAAAAGAATACACAATCTTACCCCTGCATCAGCTGCAATAGGCTTTCCAAGGCGACTTAGTTCAGTTTCCAGCTCTAATACTGTTTTGTTAATAAGCGACTGAATGCCCGGTATTCTTGACTTGATCACATGTTCTAGATGCTGTGCAAAAAAAAAAAAAGTGTAGCAGTTAAACTGATGGTTGTTTATAGAGAAACGTGTTGAGTAATGCCACAGGATTCCTAGTTTCCTAGTAGGTTCTTGTGATACTAATATCTATTTTCTCCTTGTGTTCGCTTCGTAAGGAAATTAGTACCAATCTTGGTAAAAAGAGATCCTTACTACTCTAAAGAAACTCCTATTTTACCAGTCATAACAAATTTCAGATTTATTATTCTAATTTATAGGCCCTGCTTAAGAAACCTACATCAATCCTCATATAACCCCTTACCTTGGAGAGCATCTTTGCCAAATGCTCGGAACCCATTTTATGTGCAAGGTGCCTATACTCTGTAGTATTGGAAAAGTACTCCCTCTCTCTTCTCCGAGCCGCAATCATGTCGACGTTTTTGTTAATATCTGCTTGGGAGCGGTTGACAACACCAACCCATGGATATTTGAGTTTAAAGGACTTCCCTTCCAGAATCTGAGCAAAAAAATTAAGTAGCAGTGCACACAATACATGTTAATGAGGCAACATATGTATTATGTTACTACAAAATTTAGCATGATAAAATTTAGCATGATGTAGCTCGAACATCATATCCTACGTCTATTTACAGAAAATCATTCTGCATCTCCAACACATTTTATTTACAGTAATTGCAGCTTATACTAAAGCTATTATGTCATTTGGTAAGGCAACTTACTTCCACTGCATCAGTCCCCTTGTCCATAAGATCAATCTTGGTCAAGACACCAAATGTTCTCTCCCCTGTGGAGATCACAAGGAGTATAAGAGACATAAGGAGACAGCATAAAACGTTGGGTCTCTTTGGTGGCAAAGGGAATGGTTTACAAAATGCTGACCTGATGGATCAACTTCACGGGAAATTTTAATTGCATCTGAGGTAGCAAGATCTTGGTTTGCAGGTGAAATTGCCAAAATAATGCAGTTGGGCTGTAAGGAAATTTGATTAAACATAAAACAGAATACTGTCAACTTGTTTGCTCTAATTTTAATTTTGGCGACATTAAAGGGTCTGCGACTAAGGATTTCCTTTTACCTTTTCAATGTAGGACCGAACCATGTTTTCAATGTCTTTCACTATACTTTCAGATTGTCCCTCTGCATCAACCAAAAGAAATATGTAGTGTCATGCAAAACTAAGGTAGATAATAACGTCTATTGCTTAGATAATAACGTCTATTGCCTCACGCTCCATCGCTAAAGAAATAGACCTAAAACTCGTTACTGTTCCAGCAAGGAGTGCAGTTTAATGTAACTTACCAACAGCAACTTTCGTAAGCCCTGGAAGATCAATCAGTGTCAAGTTGACAACTGCACACATAGCAAAGAGGGTAAACGTATAGAAATGACATGCCAGAAAGAGAGAAAATAAAAAGAAGCAAATGCAATTAGAATGAGATTTTGAATGGCATTCCTCACCATTGGGAGAGTAAATGCTAAGGTGAATGGGAACGCTAGAAATCGCCTTGCTGCGTCCAGTCTCTCTGTCAGTCTCATCTTGAATCTCCTTCCTCACAGCAGCTACAGAGGTGAATGAAGTAAGCAAAAAACAGAGAAATATGCAAGTACAGTATAGGAGAAGGTCAAATTGATAGAAAGCGAACCCACCAAAATCGGTGAACCTTTTCCTGGGGAGGTGAAGAAACTCAGCATACTCCCGGGTTCCATCATCAATCTTTTGCAACTGTAAGACAAGGGGCCTTCGAGTAACGATACCTACAAACAGTATCCATCACAAAAGGGAACAAGAAAATTTCAATTTAGAGCTCCAGGGAACAAGAGTTAATTTACCAGATCCACGGGGTAAAAAGTCCTTTCCGACGATGCTCTCCAGGACTGAAGACTTCCCTGAGCTCTGTTAACACAACAAGGATACTTTGCTAAAAAACCATATCATATGGAAACCCTTCTCGTCAACAATTGTATCTCGTAGATGACTAAATCTAAATATGATTGATTTAAGACCGACTAGCTGTTAGTGACAACAATATTCAAGTCAAACCCAAGTCCACATTCCACAATACCAATCGCTTTCAATATCCATTCGGAGTGGTAAGAAAAACCAACGAATCGTGAGATATGGATCTTGAAGCATATATATATAAACTAGGGCACATAGCAGATTTGAACAGAGAATCGAGATTCAAACCTGACCACCAACGACGGCGATCGCAGGCAAGGAATCCCAAAGAGTTGGTAGGGCGCTAGAGTCTCCATGGTCTCCGAGAGCCGTGCAAGCTCTCTGTATCTTATTAACCAGGGAGATCAGGTTCTCCATCGTCCTCGACTACTACTTTCGAAACCCAAAAGGCTACGGCGATAATACGGTAGCAGTGTAGAACAGGCCGGCAAGATCTGATCTGATATCTCCGCCGGAGAAATTACACCGGCAGGAATAGATCTGCGACGGTGAGCTATGGAACCAGAGAGAGAGAGAGAGAGAGATTTTGAATTTGAGTCGAGGAAAGAATTTGGGAGCGTTTCAACAAAAAAGTAAAAGAAAAAAGGGGTGTGTTTTGGGAATAAAGTGAAGGGAAGGAAGTAAGCGGTTTTATACAAGCAAAGGAAAGGGTTTTTCTAATTATCCTACAAAACCTTAACTTTCAAATTTTGACAAAACTATAGTATGGATAGTTTAAATTATTATATTTGGTTGAGTTTAAATAAAAACTATAATTTTTCGTTGATTTTGCCAAAAAATGCATGACATTAAGCCTGTATACGAAACAAGTAGGTTCGGAGATTAAAAAACCATTAACACCTTTTTTTTTGTTTCTGAAGGGACGAACCCATTAAAAATTTAGAAAAAACAAAAAAAAAAATTCTTCTCTTTTTCAATGTCTAAAAATCAAATTTTTCTTTTTTTCGGACAAACAACGCAGAAGAAGAAGAATTTAGAATTTAATTTTTGTTTTTTATTTTATTTTCTTTTATCTAAAAGCAAAACGACACAATTTTACTTAATCATAAGTTTTAATGGTTTTACTAACCTCTTAACCTTGTTCCGTTTATAGATTTAATGTATTTTTTGGCCAAAACGACAAAAGTTCATAATCATCATATATATTATAAGCGAAATAAAATTTTAGCTTTGAGCTCTTTTGTTCAATCTTAAAGTGGCTAATTACCCTTTACCATTTCCTAAAAAATGGTTAAATTGGTTCAAATTAATTAAATTTTATAAAAAAATACATTAAAATTTTGGTAAAATGGTTTTGTCCTTCCATATTCCTGAGCAAGAGGTTTCTTTTGGTGGTGGTGTGCTAACAGTTTAGATGCAGTTTAGGTTTATGTTTCCTTTCTGCTCTGTCGAAGTATACGTTCGTGTGTATAAGACGTGCGTGTTTGTATGTTTTTCCTTTTGCTTTGTTCTGCTTTAGTCTCTTTTAGTGTCTAGGGTTTGTTTGCTGCTTATTGGTGTGTCGTTGTTGGCTTATTGGTGTTTGATTGGAGCACATAAGCCGTGTCGAGGTATACGTTCGTGTGTATCACGTCTGCTTTTGTTTTGTTCTGCTTTGTTCTGCTTTGTTCTGCTTTGTTCTGCTTTGTTCTGCTTTGTTCTGCTTTAGTGTCTAGCAAAATCATGTTTTCCAGCTCCAGGATCTCTCTCATATTCTTATGCTCAATCTGAAAAACAGAGAGAGAAGTAACAGTGAGAAATAAACTCCTCACTGTTATAACTCATATGCAACACTTCAATACAAAGTCTAGGATTTTGTTTTCTGAAAGACCGTAATTTTAGGTGTAATAGTTTGTTGATGAATTTAACAGACTACGATCTCCTTCGAGCGAATCAGCATTCATTGCAAGTTCGCAACTGCTGATGTAGTAAGCTAATGGCAGAGATGATAGGTCAGCATCTCCGGCATATTGATCAAAAGCACGACTTCTCTGCTTCCTTTTGCTTCGGTGAAAATCTCCGGTTCTGACCATATATATGCTCGGCTGCAAAATTGTGGCCGTTCATTGTCTCAAATATCTCCAAAAGAATAATAAACTAAATGACTATTTTACCATAATTATTAATTCCCTCATTTTAATAATATTGATCCTACCAGAAGTGTGGAAAACGTAAACCAGTCTGCATTTTGCTGTGGAATTGCTTCAGAATTTTCCTGCAAATATACAGATTCCTAAGTGACGTTATTTGTTAGACACTGTTGACAAAAAAAAAAATTTATGTCTTCTGTGTAAGTAGTTAGCAAACTCTCAATTAAGTTTTCTAATCCAGAACCAGATGATCGATCCCTTAATTGCTGCTGCTGCTGTCATTATGGATTACTTTATAACAAAAAAGGAAAAAGAAAAAAACGGTTTGGATGCTAGAGATGGAATTGTGGGTCTGCTGGTTCTATGACTGATTTGTATTGTCCTGGAGAAAAATAGATTAAATGCTTTTTCTAGGAAAAATTGTTATTTTCTTTCTCAGAAATTTTCCTGAGAGGATTCGTATAATCCGTAGAATGCTTTTTACTCTGGTGAACCAAGATATTTTCATCGGAAAGACTATTTATCTAAGTATCAAAGTTTGAGCTTAATATCTATATTATTCACTTATCGTATTTTGTTATTAAACTCTTTTGTGGTGAAAACTTTCCTTTGTCAATTCATAAAATAGGATTTTTAAGCCTCTTTAGATCTATACATTGGTTTTCACAAGTTAGATTCGATTAGGAGAGCAAATAAAAATTATTTAGAATTGCATAAATATATTAATAATATTTTCTAAACTTACAACATTTCTTAAATTTATGAATATTTTAATTACTAATAAGTGTATTATAAATAAGCAGTATAGAAAGATCGAGCTGAGTAACTTAACCCTGGCAGGTTACCTTGGTCAAACATTTATGTTGCTTGGTGGTTCAATAAATCATATATATGATTTTAGGTGAACTCTCTCCATCTTGCTGCCACATCAGCATCTGAATGGAGGACACCTGTCCATTCATCTAATTAATAAATCATAATTTTTTTAAAAAAAATTAAAAACTAATTAATACCACTACTTCTAACTTAACTATTCTATTTAATATTTATTTCATATGTATTTATGTTCATAACTATTAAATTACATTAATATTAAGGCTTTTTACATTCCTAACAAAAATAAATAAACAACATTTATAACTTTTTACATTTCTAACTTTTTGGTATTCGTCTAAAACTTTTTAATATTCTTTATACTAACTTGATATTTTTCTTCCGGCTTATCCTCATCATAAACACTTTTTTCGAAGCTTGTTGTATGAAAAAATGTAAAGATGTAGCGTTATCTTCATTCAAAGATTTGGCGGTTTTTATGGGTCAAATATAATATTATTATAGCTGTATTTTATTGTGAAACATAATTATGGGGTGGTTCTTGCAGAATCAAGGCAATTGTACATGTCATAAATTTGAGAACATTAAAAATCAGAAGTAATTATATGTTTTCAAACAATTCAAACAGAAAAATATGACTTTTATCTACGTCTTTTTTACTCATATCATGTTTATGATTTCTAGAATAGTAGAATAATTTTCCTAATTACTATACATCCAATCTTTAAAAAAAATTTATTTGTTTTACAAAGAATTTATTTTAAAAAAATCTAATACTAAATAATCAAACAAATTACCATATTCTTATAATTAACTATATATATATATATAAAATATATATATTTTATATATATATATATATCAACACAAATATATTTTTAAAAATATTATGTGAAACAAAATCCGCGCGTATACACGGATACAAGTCTAGTAGGTAAATAATTTTTTAATCTACTCATCATTTCGTTTTCTTATGAAATTTCTCATGTTTTGTTAATATTTAAGATTGTACATGATAAACACCAAGTAGACATGTAATGAGACATCTCTACAGGTAACGTACTAAACCGACAAGAATGACAGATAATTTCTGTAAAATGGGAGAGATTATTAGTTGAAGAGAATAAAGAATTAATATCATCCATAAAATTGAGGTATAAAAATAATGACTAATTTAGATATGAACCTTAACATAGTATCAAAGCTTTCAAATGGATTGTTTACCTATGTTGTGATAACATGGTTTTGTGTTTACGTTTGCAAGAAAGATATTAACCGACAAGAAAAAGAGATAATTTCCGTAAAAAGAAGAAAAATTAAATATGTACATAATGATTAATTTAGAGATGAAACTGAATTTGGTATCAAAGCTACAAAATAGATTGTTTACATATGCTCTATTACTAAAGTTTTGTATTCACCCATGTGAAAAAGATTCAAACCAACGAGAAAGAACAACAATTTCAGCAAAATAAAGAAAGTTTCTGACTAGAAAAAATAAAGAATTGAAGTAAATTATTGACATAATATATACATATAATGACTATTTTAAAGGTAAATGTTAACATGGTTTTAAAACTTCCGAAATAATTTTTTATATTGTTATAATTTTTCAAATTGTTATATTTATTTGATGAAATTTTTGTGTCCGCGCAAGTCACGGGCCAAACACCTAGTTATTATTTAAAATCAACCAAATATGATGATTTAAACTATCTATATAATAATTTGTGTTTTTGATGGCCAAAATTTGAAACTGTTTTAGACAATTTTCATATTTTTCTTTACTAAAGGCTTGGATTAGAGCTTTACTTGGGACAAAGAAATAAGTGAAACGACGTCTTTTCTTACGCAAAATTATTTCTATTATTATGTAGTGATATTTTCCGCAAATTATTACCAATCAGAGTGTTAAGCTTAAGGTACAAATATTTTAATCTTTAACTAGAAAAAACGCTTACAGAATATTTTCAATATGGTACATAAAGATCTGTTTGGCGTGTATGCAAGAGAGAGACTTGTCTGTTATAGAATTATCGATGTAATATTTCTCATAAATTTGTAATAGATTAGTGTTAAAAAAAATTAGAAAAAACGCTAAAGAATATCACAAACTCTTACACACATATATCTGCAAATTAGTCTCACTTACCTATAGACAAAAAATTCAGTCACCACCTCACAAGAGAATAACTGAATATTGAACACATTACAAAGCCTTAAGCTAAACCCCCTAACTCCAAAAACAAAAGCCTTGGGAAGGAACTAGTAGATGCTACCCAGCAAATTCAACTGGATGATGGAACCCAAAAACAGGACATAAACCATCTTTAAATATAGAAAAGTCCAAAAGGCCAAAATAACGCAGAAAAACTAGGAATTAAAAACAACTTTCGATCAAGAAGAAATATTAAAATTTTAAAATAATGATAAAAAATAAAAGAACGCAATTTGGTGGAAATTGTTTCTAGATATATCCGAATGCTCAGGCTAACCAAAACTTTATTACAGTTCATTCTAATTTGGTGGAAAATGTTTCTAGATACATATATATACCCACTAAAGAACGCAAATAATCGTAGTTTAATTTCTTAATGACAAAGGAAATTTTACGACTATCAAAGCTATTAGAAAAAGAAAAATACACACAAGTTTGGTGGTAATTCAACCGTTTTCAGCGGAAGGCAGAAGAAGGGAGAAGAAAAGTTGGATCTGAGACGGACTTGGATTGGATCTCTTTTGCAAATTGGTTGGATCTGAGATTCTGAGCTCTCTTCTCTCTCTCTCGACATCGATGGATCTCTCTTGTCGCTTCTCATCGATCCTGTTCGTCCTCGTCGCCCTCTCCATCTCCGTCGCCGTTGCCGAGATCCGCAAATCGGAGATCCGATCCGATGACCGGCCCATCATCCCCTTGGACGAATTCGGCTTCACTCACTCGGGTCGCCTCGAGCTCGACGCCTCCAAGATCTCTCTCTTCTCCGATAACAACAATCTCGATAACCTCGATCTCTCCAAGGTCGGCTTCTTCCTCTGCACAAGGGACGCTTGGGTTCACGTGATCCAGCAGCTCGAGGAAGAAGAGATCACCTGCGCCCTCCAGTCCGATCTCGTTAAGCATGTCTTCACCTTCAACAATCTCAACAAGAAGGCGGCGAGTTTCTCCACGGTCTTCACCGAGAACGACGCCGATCAGTACTCGCTCGTCTTCGCCAACTGTCTCCAGCAGGTCAAAGTCTCCATGGACGTCAGATCCGCCATGTACAACCTCGAAGGTAAGAAGGGCGGCCGCGACTACCTCTCCGCCGGCAGAACCGTCCTCCCCAAGGTCTATTTCCTCTTCTCTGTCATCTATTTCTCTCTCGCTGCCACTTGGATCTACGTTCTCTACAGGAAACGCCTCACCGTTTTCGCCATCCATTTCTTCATGCTCGGCGTTGTTGTCTTGAAAGCCTTGAACCTTCTCTGCGAGGCTGAGGACAAATCCTACATCAAGAAAACCGGCAACGCCCATGGCTGGGATGTCCTCTTCTACATCTTCAACTTCCTCAAGGGTATCACTCTCTTCACCCTCATCGTCTTGATCGGAACGGGTTGGTCCTTCTTGAAGCCCTACCTTCAGGACAAGGAAAAGAAGGTCTTGATGATTGTCATTCCCCTCCAGGTTGTCGCTAACTTTGCCCAGGTCGTCATCGACGAGACTGGCCCATATGGCCAAGACTGGGTCACTTGGAAACAGATCTTTCTGCTTGTTGACGTCGTCTGTTGCTGTGCTGTTCTGTTTCCCATTGTGTGGTCCATCAAAAACTTGCGCGAGGCTGCCAAGACCGACGGCAAAGCTGCTGTGAACCTTGTCAAGCTAACTTTGTTTAGGCAGTACTACATCGTGGTTATCTGCTATATCTACTTTACTCGCGTTGTCGTGTATGCACTGGAGACAATTACTTCTTACAAGTATATGTGGACGAGTGTTGTTGCCAGCGAGTTGGCCACGCTTGCTTTCTATCTCTTTACTGGCTACAAGTTCAGGCCAGAGGTGCATAACCCGTACTTTGTTGTTGACGATGAGGAAGAAGAGGCTGCGGCCGAGGCCCTGAAGCTCGAAGACGAGTTTGAATTGTAAGTCAAGTCATCACTTGGTGATTCAGTAAAGAAACATACTTTTGTTTTGACTGGACCATTATCAGGACCAATCTGGTAAACCGGCTTCTCTTCTGGTTCTTTTTACTTTTTCTTTTGTGATGGTTTACTATGTTTCTTAGAATGCAATACCTGCTTTGTTTACTTGAGTTGTTAGGACACTTATATATACTCTGATGAATGTCTTATCCATTGCCTAGTATTATTGTGTATTAATGGTAACGTAAAACGCCTGGTGCTTTTATACCCTATGCTGAGACTCTGCTATTCATTTGATCTACAAAGTGGCTAATTAGTTAAGAAAGCAAGCAGATTTGAAACTAGGCAAACTTTGTGCTCACATATGCCTTTTTACCTTGTTGGATCTGTAGTTATTATCTTTGTCCCAAGTGACAGCCGAAATAATTGGTATAGTGTATGGTGAGGTGGTAGAGATTACATTGAATGGTTGGTGGACCATATGGATTGATTGAACACAAATAGCAGTTGTTGCTTGTCTCAAATGTCTTCAAGTTATTATGGTCTCTCATAGAAGGTCATCATCTATCTTTAGAAAAATCTAATCAACTAAGCTTTCATTATTTTGATATCTATATGCTTCAACAAGGCTTAGAGACCAAAAGAGAAAAGAAGGATGAAAAGGAATAATAATTATAAAAAAAAAAAAGAGTTGGAGAGAGGAGAGGTAGGCCGTAGGCACAACAAAGATGGTGAGTTTCCTAAATCGACGATCCACATTTTAGAAAGACGCCGCCGACCAAACACCCAACACAAACTCATTAAATTAAATTTTGGGGCTATTTCACGTCATCACCCAATAAAAGGTACAAAGCCGAGATCTAGTGGGGGACTTTTACAACCGAAGCTTGATGATGCAAAGCAAGAAGAAGAAGAACACACACTCAACGAATCTGCCTTTTACCTGCAAAACGTCAACAACCAAAAAACAAGCTGCCTATGTTACTCCCTCCTTGATTTTTTTTAAAACAAGGTCAACAAGTCAAAAAGAGACGAACTCAATCTCAATGATATTGCTGACAAAAGTGACCAAACAAGAGTCATCTCCACGTGATAGCCAGTACAAAAACACAATTGTCACACAGTCACAGTTTGTCAAGTTTAGAAAAAGAAAGATTCCAACTTTAACCGAAAGAACTTTACCGCAAGCAATAGAGTAGACTTTCATGCTAAATCCTTCCTTGTTCCATCATCGTAGTTTCTTTTAGAAGCGAAATTGCAAGAGTAAAAGAACAAATCAAGTGCAAAGTCGAAAACTTTACCCCGGCGGAGGAAATAGACATGTAATCCGGTGAAGGGTTCTCCGTGATCCCTGGCGTGTAGATGCCGCCACCACCGCCGGATGAGCCACCAGTGCTACCGCCACTGCTCCCACCTCCACCAGTGGAGTTTTTGCTGCCACTAGAAGAACCACCGGAGGAGGAGGAGGAGGTCTTGATCCCGAGGGAGTAAACCGGAGTTCCGTCCGGGTTGAAAAGACCGTAGTTCCTCTCGGAGGTGGGCCCAGGCTTCAAGTTCTCGTTGAAGAGAGCGAAGACGAAGATGGTGAGATCGCAGTCGGGGCGAATGGGCGTCCTCATCTTCTTGCTCATCATCATCTTGATCAGATTCCCGTTGTACTTGCGGGCATTGTCGCAGGTGGCACCAACCTCCTGCGGGTCGCCGTTGGAGGGCCATCCGGTCTCGGAGACGACGATGGGGACTTTCTTGTAGCTGATGCCGACGGCGTCAAGTGCGTGGTAGACGGCGTCGACCTGGGCGAAGAGCATGTTGTCGTAGTGGAAATTGGATCCAGGATCGGTGAAGCCCTGGTTTGGTTGGAAGAGGACGAAGTCGAGAGAGACGTGTTTGGGGTTCTCCTCGTAGGCGAAGAAAGGGTAGGCGTTGATGAGGATAGGTGAGCCAGTCTTGACGTGGAAGTCCAAGATCGGCGTGAGGGATCCCAGGAGGTCACGGCGGAAGGAGGTGGCGGAGGGAGGGTAGGAGACGTCCAGGATGGCCAGCGAGTGCGCCGTCGTCACGAAGATCTGCTTGTTGAGGCCGCAGTCCACAAGAGCGGCGTGGATGCTCTGCATCGCCGGGAAGAGGGCGGCCGTGAGCGCCGACTGGTTGGAGGTGAGGACTTCGTTGCCGACCACGATGGCCACGATCTTGGTGCCCGGGAGGTATGCCTGGACGTTCTGCTTCACCCAATCCCGGGCTTTGTCCGAGTCTTTCACCTGGGCCAGGTACTCGTTGCCGAGGGCGACTGTGAGTTCGAAGCCGGAGCCGGAGAAGGCACGGAGGGCTTGTGGATCGGCGTCATAGAGCTTGACTTTGGTGGCGCCGACTGACTTGAGGAGAGGGATGACGTTCTTTGGGGGAGGAAGGTTGTTGGCCACCTGGCCGTAGTTGATGCCAATGGAAGAGACGATGAGAGGAAAAGAGAAGAAGAGGAGAGCAACGCACAGCGGAGAGAAGAGGATCTGGGAAGACGCCATGGATGTCAAGTAGAGAGAGAGAGAGAGAGAGAGAGTAGTGAGTGAGTGGTTGTAAGCAAGATGATGATAGAGGAGGCAGTGATGGGACCAGAGCGTTAGGATTCACTAAATTTCAAAGCAAGCCAACAGTAATAAAGAAATAATGAAAAGAAGGAAGAGAGAGAGAGAGTAATGTTGGTTTGATGAGCTGGAAGTCAGTGTCTATGGAGCAGAGAGAGAGAGAGCATCTTTCTTGTTTTAATTGCGCATTTTACTTGCTTGCTCTCGGATCTTACTTCTTCATGACAGATGGATCATTTTTGTCTTCTTCTCTTGATGCTCTTATTACACAGCACACTTGCTGGGTATTTGGGACACCAGGCAGCAACATGGAGAAAGACTGAGATTTACTAACTCTGGACTCATTGTCTATCAAGATGCCGCCTGTATGAATGTCGTCAATCTCAACTAAGCATATGGCAGTCTTCCCACTCTAATAGCTCGGACGAAATCTTGCTCTTTTTTCTTTCCATTACAATCAACAAAAAAACAGAATGACTAAATCTATCTCCCCCCTTAGAGGTTTAATTGCTCTTTTTACCAATACTAACAAATCTTGACAACATCCATATGATTTCCAAACAAAAAAATGCAATCGGCGGCAATAATTATGAAACAACAGAAATGAATGGCATAATAATGTTACAATTCTCTCAATACACAAGACCTTTGTGAAATAGAATTCCAGACAACAAGACAAGACCAAAGTGACGCACTCACGCTTTGTGTCAAAGCTTTTGCAGCACCAAAGGCAAAAAAGTGATATTGATATGAAATATGAATCTCTCTCTCTCTCTATCTGTGTGCTGTGACCAGCGTCTCTATGAACCTCAACCCATCAAACCTTGGCTCGAATTTCTCCGACCCAATCGTCTTCCTTGATTCCCATCCCTGCTCATTCATTTCAATTCAAAACATATCATACGAGTCCTCCCCGGAGCAAATGAATCCTTCTTAGAGCAGATCTGTAATCGCAAATGTAAAAAAAATGGAAAAAGGAGGAAACCTTGGGGGAGACTGGAGGAAGAGTAGAGGAAGAAGAGAGAGCAGCAGTTGAGACGGCAATGATAGAACCAACAAGGCCGCTCGAAATCTTCATCATCATCATCGGAGGAGGAGGAGGAAGACGAAACCCGACGACGCCGGATCTCGACCACCACCAACTCTGGGCCTGCGTAACGCCTTGTTTGGCTTTTTCCAATTGCCCTCCCTTCTTTTTAATTTTCTCGACCAAGAAAATAAATCAGTATATATATACGTAGATATATTAATTAATGGAAACATTAAAGAAAAAAAGGAGTTTATTGACTTTGGAATGTGGTGTATCGTAACGGTTCTGCGGTGCATTCGAGTTGTTCGATACTTACTTTTTTTTTTTTTAACGAGAGATGTTTTTTGTTAGACTCTATTCTTTTTTTTTTATTACTGAAAGATCGTATTTTTAATAAATAAAAATTTAAAAATAACACTTTAAACTTTAGAGTTATTTCAGTCACATTTGAAAATTTCAAACTAAATATGTTTAAGCATAAAAAACAAATTATGATTAAGCATAAAACTAAAGATGCTATTTACACATGCTACAAAATTGGAGAATTCCGATTCCAACTACTTGTCTTCTATGCAATATTTCCGATGAATCTAGGCAGCACTTGTTCTTCGATTGTTCATTCAGTCATGAGATATGGTCCTTTTTCATGTCCAGAGTCTATATTTCACCTCCGACATCCTTCGAGGATGGTTTGAGATGAATTAAGGACAATGTTCGTGACAAAAACACTGTCCTCATTGTCAAGCTTCTATATCAAGTCTTGATATAGTCTATATTCAACTCACTCTCCCCTGCCGCTGGATCTACTATCCCGTGCGCAAAAGAATCTTCTTTTAGTAGTGTCTTTTCTAACTATTTGGTTCACCTTTTTTCAAGGCTCTTGACTTTTTTTTATTATAAATAATATTATATTAATAATCGGCTAAACCGAGAATCAAAGCTAGTTTACAATTTGATAACCGAAATAAAATAACCGAACCAAACCGGGTATGAAATTGAGGGTAATCGGGAAAACAACAACCACTGAAAGAAAGAGTAATTTGATAAAAAAAAGTTGAACAATTTCTTTTGACGAACGATATCTTCGCCGGCGGCTACAAAATACGGCTTTGCGGCATCGCGAGACCTTCGATATCAGCTTGAGAGCCGACCCAAGCCTCCAAATTCGGTCGGCGAGTCCTGATCTCCACATATTTCCCGGAGAGAATGAAGCCGGACATAAAAAATTCACTATTGAAAAGAAGGGATACCTCGACGAAATTGAAACATAGATCTCTAATCGCACAACTCTGAAACCCTCAACAGCCCCCGAAATTCGGATTTACCAATCGAATCTTCGATCCGGCCAAGGAGATCGAGGCAGCCTCCAAGAAAACAAAGACGAGAACTTACCCATCTGTCTCCAAAAAGAAACTGTGAGTCCGCATCGGTCGGAGACAACCACCGCGAACCCATCCTCAGCATGTAGTGCAACCCACCTAGCCGCCACGACGACTTCCGCCACCACACCGCAGCATCAACTTCAGCCTCCAGAGTTCCTCTCACATCTCTTCCGCCGCGTCCTCAAACAGCTCCAGAGCATCTGGAAAGCGTCTCGTTCGCTGATGTTTCCGCCACACTACCGCCTCGCCGCAACGGATGAACCACACCACAGCACTACCGGAGAAGGGTCGTTGATTCTTCGATCGCCTCCTTGCACCCAACTCCATCAATGAAGAGAAAAAGCAAAGAAAAAGGGACCCCTCGCGGTACCGGTGATGAACTCCGATGACCAGAGGGGTCAAAACGAGATTAAACGAAGATGTCTGCTAGAGAGAAAAGTGTTGAGCGCGTCAGATCCACTCGCGAGAGTTTTTTTTAGATTAAATTATGATTTTGACAGGGCTCTTGACTTAGTTTAGCTTGTTTGATTATCTTTGTTTTTGTTGTTGTCCCGGGCTGGTAATTTTTAGTAACAGGGTTGTACTTCAGTTAGTATAAATGGAAATTTAAGTTAAAAAAATTAAAAAAAAAATAAAGATGCCAACAGATCGGGAAATCTGCAAGACAGACATATTATGATCCTTTACGGGCATATACATAACTACACTGACCAATTTTTATAGACCAACTCGTTGCAGTCGTAAAACAAAAAACTGTCTCTTGTATGATGGATCCGATAAATACGGACCTGTGGGTTTAGCGGGTTAATCTGCAAGCTAACTACATCATTTATATTCTATAATTTCAAAAAATAACATATACAAAATAATATTTTCTTCTTTCATTGAACTACTATTCATTTATCATCTCAATAAATATGCATAGTTTTCTTATCTTACAGTATTTTCTCAATGAAATAAAACATGTACAATATGAAAAGTTTAATATTGGCTCACTAACCAGTTAAACTTAACAGAACAGGCTTAGACATAGTTATAGAGATTGCAGCCATATCAGACTGCCTTGTTACAACTAAAAAAACTAAAAATGTCCACCACAGGCAAAACTAAATCTTGATAATTGGTTTCAAGTCTTATTGGGATTAGATAAAGATTATTGGACCATGAAATCTTAGTATTTAGAGAGTGTGTGAAAAAATTCATATAGTAAAAGTTGGAAAAGATTTTAGATAATATATAACAGATTTGATCTTGAATAATATATAAATGACTTGGGCCAATCTATTCATTGCCAATTGGTTTTGAGTTGGAAGCCCAAGAATCTTAGCATGGTATCAAAATTTGATATGCACACTCTCTTAATTTGGCCAAAAAAGGGATTTGTACACTCGAACCCGAAATTGATGGTCTATCTCACGTTATAAGTTGAGAGAAATCTTGGTCAATATATAAAGGATATGGTCTTAAATAATATATAAGAGACTTGAGTCAATTCACTTATTACCAATTATTTTTGAGTTAGAATTCGAGGAATCTTAACAAATCTTGATAAAATGCCCACCTCTGAAAGTCCCCCTCAAAGAAGTGGTTTCATGTCTGACCATATAGATTATAGACGTATGATGTATGTATGTCTTGTTCCAATAAAGAAAAACATTCTATGTTTTGAATTGAAAGCCCACCACTTAATGTAGTTTTCTGGCCCGGTCCAAAGTTTATGAAGACTATCAACATTTTTATTTAGCCGGACCTATATACTATTTGATAAATGCGAACCTTTTATGTATTCCATGCAACCAACATTATTTGCAATACTAAATGTATTCATACATGTATACTAATCACGTCTACACTCTACGCGTTCTTCTCTATTTTGTATTTAAACTGGACCAAATCTAACACCAATTTGAAATGGTGGAACCGTAGAAGAGATGACTAATTTTTGTCATTTAAGATTTACAATGGTTAGTCATTATTATGTATTTCCAATTTCGTTTCCTTACCGATTCCTTATGAATTTGTTATCATATAGTCTACACTTGATCAGCTCACTCTTGGTTTAGTTCAAAGTTTAATGTTATGGTCGATCAAGACAAGATTCATCTTCCATTTTACTATTAGTTCTAATTATTACATTTTCTCCGTCGTTATGTAACATTGGAAAATTGCTCTTTTGATTCTTTTTAAAAAATTATAATAAAGCATTGTGTACAAAAGCTAGCGTGTGCTTTTATCTCGCTTACGCATACAAACCAATTAAACCTAGAGACAATACAACATGTAAAAACACATTCAGATACATGTATATATATAAACGAAAAGGGAGGAGAGAATTACACACAAAAAAAAACAAACAGCAAAATAGAAGATGAAAGATCGATCACATCAGGCGACAAGCGTGGACGTTGTCGTCGTTAAAGAAGTTGCTGACTTTGTCGTCTCCACGGTTAGTGACATGGATGTGACCGTGACGGTCGCTGAGGTTGTAGCCGTGACGGTAGTAGTTGTAGCTCTCCCTGAACTCACTGGTTGTGTCTTTGAAGTAGTGGTCGGAGGAAGTGAAGTAGCGTGGCATGTCCGGGTACGGCCAGAACTCGGCTCGCTTACCGGCTCGTCTCACAGCCTTTAGCACCTTCTTTCTCTCCACGTACCCAATTACCGTCACTCTTTCCATCTCTAGGTTCACCTCAACCGAGTCCACCCCTTCATGCACCAACACCACACGCCATTCAATTCAATTAACTTCTCTTTTCATATTCACTAATTATTTATTTACTTTCTTTTCCAAAACACGCACTAATTAATATTACCTCTCAGCTTGTAAATGGCATGCTTGACTACCCTCTCGCATCCACTGCAGCACATCCTTACTTTCAGGTCTATCGTCTATTTTGTTACATATTTAATCACAACAGTCATATGTTACAAATTAATTAATTAGTAGTAATATGCGATACGTCTCTAAACAAGGGAAAAAAGTTATTAACCAGAAGAACATTTGTATATATATGCTGAATCAGCCAACGATATTGTGGTTATAGGATGCATCCACTAGTGAGACAAACTTATGACATTTCGCTTCAGTTTTGTCCGATTCCCTTTAACGAATCAATAGAAAAAAACCAAAAGTCATTTTTTAACAGACAAGGAAACAAAAAAAAAAAAAAAACACTGAACACAGCACTTTAGTATTCTTTTTTTTTTTCCCTGCGAGAATCTGATCTATTAATTTGTTTTCTTATCAAGCGTCTTCTTGAAATCCGCAGAACTCAAGGTAACTAATTAATGAAAAGTTAGCTAGTTCCACTAATTAGGCATATATCATAAGAAAGATTTTCACACCAAATTAAGGGATACATGCAAAGGCAAATTAATTAGAAAGAAATATAGGTATATTGTTATCCAAATCTATTTAGTTTAATTAATGACGAACTAGTTCATGATCATAGAGTCGATCAGAGACTAAGCTATAGACATGGAAGTTGAGGTTAATTAAAAAAGAGAGAAAGAAAGAGAATACCTGTAAAGAAAGTGGGCGAGCCCTTGGCATGGTGTGGTAATAGTTGAGGTGGCTCACACTTTTGACCTTTGGCTTCTTGTGTGGATACCGAAAGAACAAACAGTATGTGATGGTCGATATGATGGACCTCAAACCCATTTCTCTGTCCAGCGCTCTCTCTCTATATAGATATTTATGCGTTAGTGCCTGCTCACTTAGCTAGAAAGAGAGATGATCACCAGGACTCACAAAAGCTTATAGAAGAAGCAATAAATATATAAACAAGAGGAATGCATGGAGAGGAGTTTTAAACAAAGAACAAGATTAGACACAACGGAAGATATTCCTTTGGAATCGCTTCCCTTTGTAATAAGTTGTAATCTCTGAGGTGATATTTATTATAATATTCCATAGACATTTACAAATAATGGGTTTTTATGCAAGGCAAGTTGATGGAGATATATGATGAGTTTGCTAACTATGATGGATATCATTTAGTAATAATTCTCATAATTAAAGCTTATGGTAATTATAATTTATCAAAAAGCGTTGTCTTGAGTCTTGACATAATGCGTGGAATCAAGTGTTTTTTTTCTTCTCACGATGGTATCAAATGTTTTTAAAATGCAATTCTAAAGAAATGTATCGCTATAGTTTATGCTTGATGTATATAAACAAATCAAAAGAATGTAAATTGTCCTGGTTTTATGGCTCCAATAAAGTGGCCGCAACCGCATTATCCAGTCCACATTAGTAATAAAAGAAGAATTTATTAAAGATCCAACCTAAACTTAATTGTTCTTTAAGTTGAATTAGAATATATCCTTAGCATCATACTCAGTGTGATTCTTTAGGAGACCTCAAGACTTTTCATCGTCTCTATTAGTCTATTATCTACTATGTAGTAGAGAGTTGGGAACATCTAATAGAATCATAGTAGAACACATACATTCATAGTTCAACCAAAACCAAATAGACTGATATATTCAAATTCCTATCATAGCCATAGGGAATCTAATCTATGATTGGTTTGTTTTGTTTTGTTAATCACCACCATACATGCATTCAATAACTTGGGCGTCACGGCCCATCTTCTAGAAAAAAAAAGTATATATGATTGATGGATACTGTCTTCTAAATCACTCCAAGAAACGAAACAAGTGAAATGTTCGGTAGAGTAGTGATACAACCTTTTCCCACGAGATTTCCGAAATTTCTATTTTTTTAGTATTTATAAGAAAACACATTTTCCGTCGATCTAAGTTTTCTACAGAAGAAATCGAAAACCAAACAAAATCTTGAATTGTATCTCTTTTTATGTAAGCAAATGTTAATCGGGAAAACCGGAAAAGCGAATCTATTAATTTGAAAGAATAAACAAAATAATTTGCAGCTCCATTTAATCTAGACGAACAGTGCCCTATAGATGCTAAGATTATATTCTGGAAAAACTTTATCGTCGGTAGAAATAAACGAAACCATAGATTTAATCTTTTAATAAAGAGAGCATCAACATGTGTCAGTATCATTCGGACCATAGAAAAATATCAGGGGGAACGCGATATTCCCACGCATATATTGTAAACATGAAAAGACATATGTATTGATGGATGATCTTAGAGAATCAAATAATGTTAATAAAAGTGGATATCGAGTTAGAGGAATGGCGCATGTGCTGCTCCTGCTCCTGCTTCTGCTGCATGGCACTCTCTCTTCTCATCTCCATTTTCATTATTCCTTATTTCCATATTCCCTTATTATCAAAATTTAGTTTAAATTATGAATTTATTCCTCCTTTTCACCCTTTATTTCCATATCTACATGCATCTAACTAAAATTCCTAGTAAAGATCAAGCAAGAGAATAATACAGAACAATACGTACGTGAGATTAGTCAAATTGTTTCCTTTTCATTTTCAAATGGTGTTTCTTAGTGCTTACTGATTAAATATGACTCTTGTGATTAGTTATTATTGTTAATGAGTGTAAACTACAGGTAGTCCCGTTGGCTAAGAAGAAAACGGCAAAGAACAGTTTCATCGTATGCGCTGAAGTAAGAGACTGACACGTGTCTTTGTTCCCGTGAGTCTAGTGTGACGTGTGACGTCGTCTTTGTCCTCTTGCTTTCCCGCTCTGCTTGATAAGGGAGATTTCTCACAACCTGGCTCATATCAATCGTTTGTTTATCCAGGAAATCTTCGAACTCGCTGATGTAGGAATCTGTTTGAATTGAATTCGCATGGCGTTCCTTTGCAATTTCGTCCGGCGGAGACTTCATACTCTGTTGCGGCCTTTTTCTCGGGAAGAACCTGACCTTCAGGTCAAATTAGGGCTTACTGATACTCTCCTCACATTGCGGAATTTTCGATTCGATGTTTCTCAGCTTAATCAACTCCTCGATGGATCTAGTGTTTCATTCCAAGGATTTACTGTCGACCACCTGGTTATTCACTTGTCCGTTTGGTCAGCTCCGGCCATTCAGATCGAAATTCGCGGTGTACATGTCAGATTATCGGCCAGGTAACTGAATCCCGTCGGCTCAATTGTGATTTCGTGTATTGGGTTTCGTAGTCAATAGTTCGCTAGGGTTTATCGGTTCTGTGTTTTTTTTTTTCCCTCAAGAGGAACGGGGGAAGGAAGCTCGAGAAGGATGCGAGCATCACGTGAAACTGTAGCAAATGAGATAAGAAAAGTTCTATCTTCTATTGATCCCGAGGTACACCTGTTAATTTGATTTTTCGTTTACAATGCCTTACCCTTTTCGCTAGCTACTGTGGGAAGTGGGAACGAATGAAGCTATTAAGTGTTCATTAACTCTGAGGAGAAATTGCTAATTGCTAATTGCTAATCGCAGGGATGCTTCTTACATGAGATTTTGGAGAGGATGCTCGATGGTAGTTCTCAGCAAAATAAGCTCAAGACTTCCTTCTCGAATCTTGTTCTTAGGCATTTCCGTATTCAGATACATGGGATTGATGTTCAGGTTTGTTTACCTGGTTCGAGTGACTTGTGTTGTGTTCTGGAAATCAACGAGCTGAGGAGTGATTCTGAGAATTCTGGAAATCTTAGTTTCTTAAGGAGTTCAGCTGCTGCAGTGTTATTTCCTTTGAGGCGTAGTTCCTTAACACTGAGTGGCGATGGTTTCAAGATTGGATATAAGAGTAATAATGATATCGCTGACCTTTGCTCATTTGACAGTCTTGTCATGTTGATTACGCTGCATAATCTTCATCTTACTGATCTGATCGTCCGCGTTCCAGAGTTAAGTTTCTCGTTTAGACCCACTGATCTTCCGGTTTTTATGGGATTGACGAAGTTATCATCCAAAGATAGCAATTCTGTCAGAAATGGACGTCATCTGTGGAAAGTAGCTGCTCGGAAAATTGGCTTGATGATCTCACCTCACGCTTTTTCATTCCAGAATTCAGTTAGTGCTGTTATCCTCTGGATGCGATACGTGAATGCTTATGAGTATTTGCTATCTTTAGCTGGGTACTCCAGGAAAACACCAGAGAAATCATCACTTTGGAAAGCTTCAGAAAACAAAAGGCATTCTGTATCTGCAAGACGTAAATGGGAGATGATATGTAATATTGAGAAAGAACTCCCTGCTGAAGCCATCGCGCGGGCGCGTAGAGTAGCCAGATACAGAACTTGTGTGAATTCTCAGAATGGTAGTGATGATTTTGACGAAGCTTCCATATATGGCCACTTCAATTTTTTGTGTAAGATCACCTGGGTTTTGGCTTACATCTGGAGACTTATAAGTCAAACATTCTGGTCTATAGCTTGCTTTCTCTCGTCAAGGAAACTGTTGACCCAAGAACTACAAACTGATAGGAACAATGAAGCTGATTCCGAGCCGGTATCTCTTGAGTTTCATGCAGTTGTCAATTTTGGGAAACTTTCTATCACATTTTATCCAGAGAAAATGATTTCAAGTTTTATGACATCGAAAGACAGTACTGGACACACAGACTCAAATGTTGTGACTCTTTGCCTTTCGGTCGATGAGTTTTTGGTAATGCATACTGTTGGCTGTCTTACTCAGTGTTCGTCTGCTTCCTGCGGGAAACTGAAGGTTATGTCCTCTGGTTTTGGAAAAACCAGTCGTTACATGAGATCTACAAAAGATCCCGGTAGTTCTGCTGAAAGAAAGATGCGTGGGCATGTGAAAACTATCCTAGAGATGGACCCAGTACAGTCAATCCTACTTTCCAAAGCAGGTAACCATTATGGCAATGAGCAACATGAGGGAAATCTGCATCTACAAAATCTTCTGAGAGAAATGTGGTCGACCTGGAACAGCAATTGCTTGAAGTTGGATAAAAGTACTTTTGAAATTTCTGATAACCCTTGTCTACTCGTTGATATGAAAACCTGCATGGCATATCAGGATGCTGGTAACCAAGATTCTGGGCTCTGGAAATGTAGCATGGTATTGGGGAAGTTGGATATTGTTTTAGAATATTCATCGTTGTTTTCAATGGCTCTACTTATTTGGCAGACACAACAGTCTCAGAGTTTATTTGAAGGCGAAGTTACTGGACGGGGTCATTCAAGTTCTTTGGTAACAGGTGGAGTTGATTCTGAAATGGCTGGTTATGACGAATATGGGATCTACAGACGCATTATTGAATTGTGTTTAGTAAGTGTTCATCCAGAGAGACAGATTCAGGTTGGCATACTTGTTGGTGGCCCCCAGGTCAAATTGTTCGTGGAGAAGTCTGAAGAAGTGGATGCTTTAATTGGGCAGAAAGATCTTCTTGTATTTGATATCCATGATTTTGAGTTTGTCGTTTGGCCGGCTTCAAAATCTGACGTTGTGCTATTACGGATGTTTCAAGGGCCTGACAACGCAAGATCAGATAGGCCTTTGCGTCAGGACCTGGGGTTAAGTGATACTGTGATTCCAATTTATGAAAAATATGTTTCTCAAGGATTGAATTCTCTGTCCTCACACCTAGGGTTTTCTGGTTTTGATTGTTCTTTCTGCAAAATGGCAGAAAAGAAATGGAGTCAAGTTTTTGTATTGAGACCCGTAACTATCTGCTTTTCATCCTTAAGGTGTGGGATTTCTTCTTATATTAAATTATTCCCTTTTAATCATTGGTGTTTTGCCTTTTATTGCTACATATGTGTTAGACTAAGCTTAACATTGTCTTTTTCTCCCTGCTTGATACATGTTTTGGTTGTCATGTCATTTGAGAATGGTTTGGTCACATCATTTATCTCTCAAGTTTGATACGTAGCTGCATTCCTTCCCAAGTTATAAGACTAAGCTTAGGTGCTTCGTTGAACTAGTTAGTGTATGTCCATAAGATATTTCCAAACGTCAGTGACGCTACATCAAAGAAAAGAGGATAATCTTGCTTTAATAATTATCCGTTTCCTCTTTCCATAGGTTTTTGTATATATCTGTTTTCGTTTTATTTGATATTTTCTACTTTACTGCTGAGAATCCTTTTCAATATACTAAGTATTGTGATTGGAAGCAGCCATCAATTACATTTTATGGAATTCCATCTGAATCTGAGAGAACTGCAATCTATTGCAGAGATCATGTTTATTCCTTCAGCGAAGCTATTATCAATTTCTCAACTGGTTTGGATGTGTTGGTGCTGGGACTGACTGTTGTATTAAAACCGGGTGACCTAAATGCTTATTTTCAGGTAAGAGAGGCTTTCTTGGCAGTTTTTACTTTGCATGTCTTTAAATCTGCATAGTATTTGGAAAATTAGTTTCCTACCGCATGAATTTATATATGTTGTGGTAAGTTCATCTAAGGATCAGATGCTCCGAAGCATGATTATCATATTCCCTTTGAAAATGTGTGCCTGTTGTCCTTGCTTATATAGTCTCATGGAGTTAAATCTTTGTCAGTAGACCACTTGATAAAAAAAATCTCTATCGTAATTACTCTTCGAACCCAAGTGATTAATTTCTGGATTTAGAGTTGTTGCTAACAAATATTATCAAGATGCCTAAAGGATTTATATATATGATTTAAGACAAGATGGACATTTTCCTTATAATTTTTGGTGTTGTGTCAGAAACTATCCTTCAAAGCTTCCTTAGCATTGGACATGATGCTCAAATTCTTATAATCAATCTAAATGAATCTGTCTTTAAGCTCCTACGATATATGATTCCAAGCATAACACCTGAATAGCATCAAGATCCTAATTTACCTTTTAGGTTATATAAAAAGCATTCAAATAAGTTTTGTTATTCTGTACCAGATGCTTCTAAGCTTAGTTTCTGGGGTATCCCGTAGTATGAGCGGTTCTAGCTCTGCGGGTCGTTCACTGGGACAAGAACTCAGGTCTGCTGCAGTGCATGTGGAACATGAGATCGAAAAGACTTTTTGCAAAACTCTTTTTGCAGTTAAAGCGATCATTAAGATGAAGGCTATAGACGTGATATTTGATGTTCCTGCATCAGACGAAAGTTTTGAGAAGCCTATGGAGCTAGCTGATTTTAGAATTTGGTCTTCTGTCCAGGAAGCATGCGCTGAACTATCTTGTGAAGAACATAGGTTTTTAATCAATGTTGATTTGTGTGAACTCCAGTCTATACTCTTCAGATACATGGATAATATATGGAAGAGTTCTGGCAACTTTATTACAGAATCTTCGCCGTTCAGGTCACATGATATCTTGTTTGATGCATGTCTTTCGAGCTTCATATTGAGTGTGTGTATGGATTGCTCAAGCCCATCAGCTCTAGGGGACGCCTGTCGTATGGCTGATGATTCTGCAGGAAATGCATCAACAACAAATGAACCTACTACAGATAGAGTTCAGGTTCAGAGAGAAGTGGACCAGTTGGACTCTGCTTCAGATTCTTCACTGTCCAACTCGACCCGTTGGATACACATCGATTTAGCATTGACTGATTTACTTGTAGCTAGGTGCTCAACAAAAAATGTCTTGGTTGAAGTTCGTCGGTCAAGTAACTTTGTAACTTCAGTCTCTATTGGGAGAAAATTTCAGTCAATTTCCTGTAAAATCGAGGTAAATAATAAACACCACTTGCTTTATTTTCATATTGACTAGCTCTTTATGATGCATGAAGTAACTCGCCATGTTGCTGGCAGGGTGGTCTTTTTGTCCTTGAACCAGAGGCCTTGATCGGGTTAATTCATGGTTACTCCGCGTACCTTTATTTCATTTCAAGTAAGATGTCAGTAATTCAATCTTCTGCGCCAATTCTTGAGAAAGTAGAAGCTGATTCAGGTGTCAGTGAAGTTAGTACTCCTTCTCAACAAGCAAAATGGTACCTTGCAGAAACGTTTTCTATAGATGTCACCCAGTTAGCACTGAGTTTTGTCTGTGTTGATGAATATGGTGAGTTATTCTATTTTTTATCCCCATTTGTACAACGTTTATGCTACCTAAATACATACATAATTGACTTTCCAAAGAAGTTATAATTGCTTGATTTTGTAGGAGGTATAAGGGAAATTGTTCTGGAGATCAATCTCCACAGTTCCCTTGATTTGGCACGCAGAGAACAGAAGTTTCTTTGTGAAGTTTCTCGCGTATCAATTCTTTCTAAGATTCTTGAGAGCGTGGAAAAGGACATAAATATTACTCAATTTTCTTCTCCACCATTTAGTGAATCTTCTTCTTTTCTGTCTGGTGCTCCTCTGGAAACGTCATTTCAGCAAAGGGATGTAATTAGTTCAGGTGATAGTACAAGTGTTTCAGGAGATTTTAATGGTCCAAGGGAATTCTCTACCAACAGCAATTTACAGGAAGAATTTCACTCGCGCTATAAAAACTATATCTTGGAAGAACTACGTGTCTCTGCATCTGCTATGAAGCGAGAAAATACCGGTCACCAGTGTAGTCAGGCCTGGGAAGGTGGTTGTTCTGTTCTAGGATTTGATATAACCATTTCTCTGTCAGAATTGCAGGTATCATTCTTTTAGGCTTGGAATGCATATGTTAACAGTATTGAAATACTCCTATATGTTCACATTCCTGTAGTTGCTAATACTCATGTTTGCTGGCCTATCATGTGCTGTTACGTCAGATGGTCCTTTCAATGCTTTCATCCTTTTCTGCGTTACCTGGAGGAGGAAGCGCAGATGCTTCTTTAGAAAGGCCTTCGTTCAACAGGGAACCTGAAAGAAGTTTTGAGTCTGTAGTTCCTGATGGTGAGTAGGAGTATTACTATTTTAGTCATTCATTAAACTTTTGGGTTTTCTCCTAATGGAAAATTGATATATGTATAGGAGCGATTGTTGCTATTCAAGATATACATCAACATATGTTCTTCACAGTTGAAGATAGGGGGAACAAGTGTGTTGTGACTGGTACCCTTCATTATTCTCTGGTTGGAGAAAGAGCTCTTTTCAGGGTATGTACAGTACATTATTAAAACAACAACAGGAGACAGACCGTAGTTAGTATTCTTTGGTTTTCAGAATAAAAGGATAGCTTCTCTTTTAATGAGATGAAATCCCTAAATTTTGAATTCATGTGCAGGTCACCTACCATCGCTATCAAGGATGGAGTTCATCCACCTTATGGTTCTCCTTGACATCTTTGTATGCCAAAAACAATAAAGGAGAACCATTACGGTTAAACTATCATTCAAGTTCAGATTTTGTTAACGTCTGTGGACTTCATGACAACGCAACAACACTCTTCCGGGCATCTGTTGGCGAATCCGAAAATTATAAGGGTGACATTGACTGGGAGACCTACCGTAAATTGGTCAAAGATACATTTTACCTTGTCAACAAGAAGAGTGATTCAGCTGTTGCATTTATTGATAGTTTTCCAGAATTTGTTCGAAAGCCAGGAAATCCATTCAAGTTTAAAGTGTTTCGTGAAAGTTTGGCGATTCGTAATAGTACATCTGTGGTACCTCCTGAGATCCATGAGTCTGAAACGCAATCTGTGATGAACTCTTCCCCCCCTTCTATTACCGTAACAATCGATGGGGTATCTCTGACCATTGTTCATGAACTTTCAGAAACCAGGGACAGATTTCCCCTGTTTCGTGGTTCAATCAATATCACTCAGCTGACTTTACAAATGTTATCTTCTAAAGCCAGGGTTATGAGCACATCAAACATTTTAGTGCTGTACTTTGATGCTCAGACAAACCAATGGTGAGAAGTTCTCTCCCCTTGGGTTCTTAAGACGTGTATTTCCTGATTTATGCATTTTCCTCGCCTACATAGAATTCCCTCCAGCAATTGTTTATTTTTTCTTCTGGAATAGGCGGGAATTTATTCATCCAGTTGAAGTTAGTGCTTTCTACCGTTCAACTTTTCAGACCCAGGATCTTAAAAATACTATGCACAAAGTACCTAGCCATATTTACTGCAGAATTGGCAAGGTACTAAAAGCTTCTTACCGTATTTTTCATGATGTCTTGGAGCTATATAACTCGTTACATATATTTCCCTTCGCATGTGCAGTTGGAGGTCTATTTAACCGAGCTGTCATTGGATATGCTCCTTTTTGTGCTTGAAGAACTGGAGTTTGCTGGTCCATTTTCTGTGAAAACTTCCGTCATTCTTCCCAACTGTTGCAAGGTCGTTTCCCTGGTTTCTGTCCAATGCTTTTATAGTTTTTCGTACCTTTTTCCTTGATAGACACCTATTCTATAGAGGAACCATGAAATTTTTTTGTCTTTTCAGATAGAAAACCTCTCTGGCCTTGACCTTACTTGCCGTTTCAATGAGAAACAGACTACCACAGTTAGTAGGAAACAAACTGCTTCGATTTTTCTTCGGTAACACCTTGGTCCCTGAATGCCTTGTTTTATTCTGCAACAGGAAGATGCATGTGTTTTGCTTCGTGGTGAATGCTGACAGTCTTTAGCACTCTCTCTGAAATAATTTTCTTTCCCATTTTTCCGATTAGTGTTGTGCATACTTACTTTTACACTTACGGTGCAAAAGAAAAGTATTAAATTTAGAGTAATCATCTTAAACTAACTGAGAGTGGAGAAACACGTTCACTTTTGTATAGAAATTTTGCATAATGGATGGCACATCCCTAATCGTGTGTAATTTCTTTCAAAGGCATTCAATGAACCATCAACCAGAAGCTTTTCCAGTGGTTGCGGTCCAGCTATCTTCTGGAAATTTCATAACTTCTTCTTTAAACGTTTCTTTGTTAGAAGCCAGAACACTAGCTTGGAGAACAAGGATAGTATCACTCCAAGGTACTTTGATGCTTTTCACACCTTCTATCTGTTCATGGGCTTGCCACCTGAATAAGCATACGTTGCAGCTACTGCTGAACTTAATATATGTTTTATAGATTCGAGGAGTCATCCTGGACCGTTTGTTGTTGTTGATATTAAGAAGGGATCTGAGGTATGTCGTAAGCTGATTCTCAAGGTTTTCTATAAGATCATTTAATATCAACCAAAGGATGCAATTTTTCCTTTATCTTTTGCATTTGATTATAACCTGTAGGATGGTTTATCGATCTCAGTTTCTCCTTTGACAAGGATTCATAACGAAACTAGTTTTCCGATGGAGATACGTTTCCAACGATCTAAGCAGAAGAGAGATGATTTTGCTTCTGTACCTCTGAAGCCTGGTGCTTCAATTGATGATTCAGTGGGAGCATTTAATGCCATAAGCTTATCGGGCGATCAGAAGAAGGCTTTGACATCTTTAGCTGTTGGTAGGTTTTTCTGGTCGTGTTTTGGTTTCTTGCTTCGATAACTTGATGGAAACCTATTTTGCATAACTTGAACTTTCGAGTAAGGTTGATGTGTCCCTCATCACAATAACTTATGTAACTAAGTTTCCATCAATTTTTTTTTCTACGTGTTTAATGACTTTAAGTCCCTATATTTCTCTACTTTTGTTCTGCAGGTAATATCAGTAGTCTAGTTTCCAGGATGATTAAACACACTGATTGTTAATTTGTTATCAGTGGCATTCTGATTGGTTTTTCCGAACTGAATGGCAGGTAATTATTCACTCTCGTTCAGACCTGAATCTTTGGAAACTTTGTTTGAGAGTGAGAAGTCACTGGCAAGTGAATGGTCTGAACAGCTTGAAGGAGGGAAGGCAGTACGCCTAACGGGAATCTTTGATAAATTGAGTTATGGAGTCAAAAGGGCTTTCTCTATCAAATCAGTGAATGTCTCCTTGACTACTACATATTGTTCTGTCACATCTGAAAGTCAGTGTGTTGGCAAGGTGCACTTTCTGATCCATACCATTGGGAGGGAAGTATCTATCATACGTCCTGATACATCCTCTGATGTGTTTGAGAAACGGAATGCATCTATTGCATTGCGAGAGCAGAAGGAAATTTTTCTTTTGCCCACCGTGCATGTGTCAAACTTCCTGTCCTCCGAAGCAGCCATTATTTTGACAGAGACTGGTAACTGCAGAAAAGTATGTGCTCTTTAGGTAACCTATATTTCTGCATCTAACATTATTATCTCGCTTGCAGATCAGTTCACCTCGATGGAGAGACATAGCATTGGCAAGCATGCAACGATACAGAGTGGAAAAACAATGGATTTTTATGCGAATCCTGAGATGATATACTTTAGAGTTACTCTCACTGCTTCCCGAACGAGCTGCAAACCAGTCAATAGTGGTCAGTGGGTGAAGAAGTTACAGAAACAGAAGAATGATGCAGAGTCTTTGGATGTTGGTCTTGATTTTGCCGATGGAAAATACTGTGCTTCCTTGAGATTGTCTCTAGGGAAAAGAGGCATACTGGAGGTCATGATTTTATCTTGAATTCTGTTTCCTTCCTGATTTCTTTTACTTAAAAAATATATCTTTTCTGGTTTGTGCAGGCAGCTGTTTTCACGTCGTACATTCTTAAGAACGACTCAGACTGCACCTTGTTCTTCTATCCCCCTGGCCAAAAGCCTCTATCCAGGTACATCAAATATAAATCATGATATCCTTTAACCTGGTGATGGCTAATTATATTTAATGTGAACAAATGCAGGGAAGATCTGGAGAAACTTGGTTACATTGTCCCCCCTGAGTTTGGATTATATTTGCCCCCAAAGACAGAGGGATCGTGGTTTTTAAGGTAGGCTATCCATGCTCAGTACATAATTACATAGTTATTTCCACCCAATCTCATTTTAATCACTACTCAACACCTTGTTTGGCCAGATCTCGTAAGGTTAGTGTTATATTGGCTGATGGTCATGGGGCAACTGAAGCAGTGTTGGATTTGGATGCTTTATCAGGACTTACAGAAATTAGTATGGGAACAAAAGATGAGTCTGGATTTGGGTATATAACAAGGTTTGGGTTGTCAGTTAAATCAATCTCAAGTAAAATGCTTGTTCCATCACGGATTGTGACCTTTGTTCCAAGGCATCTTGTAATCAATGAATCGGAAGAGACCATCAACATCCGCCAACGCTATTTTCAGGTTCTTGTTACTGTCCCCCTTTTTTGTCGCTTTCATCTCAGAAACATAATTTATTTACTTTTCTTTTATATCACTGTTGGTTTTGTGGGAAGGATGACTCTGTAGGCATAATCACCATCAAAAGCAAGCAAAGAGCAGCCTTACGATTGCAGGAAGAAACTACACAGAAGAAAGAACTTCATCTATTCGAAAATTTTATCAGAAAGCACGGAAGTGACAATGCAAATCCATTGACATTCATTCAGTTTGGGTTGAACAAAGCAAACTGCAGTTGGTCAGGTCCACTATGCATCACTTCAATTGGATGTTTTTTCCTCAAGTTCAGAAAGCAGTCAGGTGAAACAGGCAGAGGCGCAATTGAATTCGCATCTGTGAATGTTACTGAAGAAGGTTCAACCCTTGCTGTGCGCTTCCAAAAACCACCAAATACCCCACCACCATATCGAATTGAAAATTTCTTGTCTGCATCTCTCACTTACTACCAAAAGGTTGGCCACATCTACTTGTTCTCATCGCTACATATGTGATTTTTGTTTTTTTTCTTTGTTTTTTTTTTTCAATTTCTGTATATCATTCAGTGCCCGTTGCTTGTTATCTGCAGGATTCATCGGAGATTGAAGTACTTGGACCTGGAAGTGGGGCTGATTATGCATGGGATGATATGACCCTTCCTCACAAGCTTGTAGTGATAGTAGATGGTAATAGTTAGCTTCCAACTTTTCCCTGCTTATAAATAATCAATTCCATTACGTCTTAGATTTATTAGGGGAAATTTTTTTTGGCAGTTTATTCCATGTTATCAATCTAGTGAGCACTCATAGATATTTGATGATAAGCTGCAATTTTATTTATTTAGGCATGATACCTCTGCGTGAAGTCAGCTTAGATAAGGTTCGTCCATGGAAACCCCTTTTCAAGGCAACTCAACACAGAAGCATAGCCTCCCACTTAATGTTGGAAAAGAAGGCCAAAGATCATAAAACGGCCTACGAGCAATTGAGTAGCATACCGATGGTAAAGGTCGGATATGAAGTATATGCAGATGGTCTGACTCGAGTAATTCGCATTTGTGAAGCTTCAAAAAGCCTTAAAGAAGACTCAGTATTCCAATCTCGTTCAAAAATTCAGTTCCGGATAACCCATTTAGGAATTCACTTACTCGAAAAAGTGAAGCAAGTAAGTCTGTTCTGTGTGTCACTCTTTTGCATTCCTGCATTAATTTACGTCGAGCTCCTTTGCCTCCTAGACTTGATTCTGTGTTAAAATGTTCATGCAGAATGCAGAGGAAAAAATTGTCCTGACATATTCTCCGATCCTAGTGGCAAGACTAGAGAATTTTGGTCTACAATCCATGTTCACTGACCAACAGAAATTTAACCAATTATGTATAGAGGTATACTTTTATGAAGTGCAATAGGTTGGCTTGGTTTTCTGGTTGCAGAAATAAGACAAGGCTTTTGTCTTTGGATACTACAGGCTCTAAATGTGGATCACAAATGGGTAGGGGCACCCTTTGCAGCCATGCTTCGTCAGCATCAATCAGATTCCAGTGACGGAAATGGTTGTCTGTTCAAATGTGTATTTATTCTAGTATCAAGTGGTTCCAGCGTCACACAAGTCAAGCACTCCTCAATAGTTTTGCAGGTATCGGGCGGTTACTGTGTCACTCTCTCCTTACGTTTCTCCTCTTCCTGTCTAAACTAATGAATGAAATAGAACGGCCAGAGTAAACATCTGATTCTACAAATATTAACTGTATGGACATCTATGCCTGCTTATGCTGTTGGATTTATTATGCTTATGTCTTACGTGCAGCCAGTCAATTTGAACCTAGACGAAGAGACTTTAATGAGAGTTGTGGCGTTTTGGAGATCGTCTCTCAGTACAAATACACAAAGTAGTCAATATTATTTTGATCATTTTGAAATTCACCCAGTAAAGGTTCGCTCTGTCAGTTATTCTACTCATTTTCATTTTCAATTTCTACTCTTTGCTATGTTTAAAATACTACATCTGTTTCTCATCTTTTGATTTAGATAATTGCTAATTTTGTTCCTGGGAGCTCATATTCGAGCTATGATTCCGCTCAAGAAACTCTGAGGTCATTGCTGCATAGTGTTGTTAAGGTATGGGTATCAGAAATTTTCATATCTTATTATTTTGCTGTTTTGCGTGTATTCACATGCAAATTTTCATGAGTCAATGCTTGTTGGGCACTTTGTTTTCTGTAGGTTCCACAAATAAAAAATATGGTTGTAGAGCTAAATGGTGTGCTGGTCACTCATGCTTTAATAACGGTTCGCGAACTACTACTCCGATGTGTAAAACATTACTCATGGTATCATCTTTTGTTTGTATGCTAAAAGTTCCCAACTACTCTGCCCTCTGTTTTTACACATTATCAACTTGGATATCTGCTTTCTAGGTATGCAATGAGAGCAATCTACATTGCCAAGGGCAGTCCATTACTTCCGCCAGCTTTTGCGTCCATGTTTGATGATTTTGCATCATCCTCTCTTGATGCCTTTTTTGATCCTTCTCGAGGCTTAGTGAACGTCCCTGGTTTGACAGTGGGTAAGCAATGTGCATTTCCCGTATCCTTACCTTTATTTATGGCATATATATATGCATCATATCTCAATGAAGGTGGAATTAATCGTTTGCTTTTATCTGTTGTAGGCACCTTCAAACTCCTCAGCAAATTTATTGACAACAAAGGATTGTCAGGGACAAGACGTTACTTTGGTGATCTTGGGAAAACTGTACGTACCATATAGTATATCGATCATGAATTTCCTAGTTTTTTTTTCCAGTAAACCTCTTATGGAACTACCATGTTGCAGCTAAGAACAGCAGGATCCAATGTCATCTTCGTTGCTCTCACTGAAATATCAGACTCTGTTCTGAGGGCTGCAGAAATGAAAGGTCTTGATGGACTGGTGAGGACTTATCTCCTTTCAAACTAATGATCAGTTAGGCTAAACATGGTCATTTTTTTATCATCTTTTTGTCTCTTCTCATAGGTTAGCGGTTTCCACCATGGAATCCTTAAACTGGCAATGGAACCTTCGGTGATAGGAACAGCCTTGATGGAAGGTGGGCCTGATAGAACAATTAAGCTTGATCGTAGTCCCGGTATTGATGAGGTGATATCTCACAGCCTTGTCTTATACTTTCAAATTAACTTTTTCATTTCGATAGAGTAAAAAAGAGAAACCGAAAAAAGTCAAAGCATAGAGCGTTTTTACGTGTCCATCTGCTGAGTTTTTCAGTTTATGATAGAAGGATCATGTTTTCCGTAACTTGTTAAACCTATAAAGAATAAGCTCCCCGTCACATTTACTAATATCTTCAAATACTTAGAATCATTGTCACATATTCTTGTGAGATTTAGTTATGTATGCTCATATTCACTCCTTGCAGTTATATATCGAAGGATACCTTCAAGCTATGTTGGATACAATGTATAGACAAGAGTATCTCAGAGTCAAAGTCATTGACGATCAGGTAACCAACCCGCAAAAGCAATATTTCTCTAACTTAGATTTGCTTTGCCCATTCCCAAAATAGGGAGACCAATTTTCATAATTTCTCAAAGAAAGATATTCATACCAACCAACCAGAAATCATGCATGAACTTCCTATTTCCCTGACTGTTTAAACATATTCACTTATAGGTTTTCTTAAAAAATCTTCCACCAAGCAATTCTCTCATAGATGAAATGATAGACCGTGTTAAAGATTTTCTGGAAAGTAGGGGTTTGCTCAAAGGAGATCCTTCAAGCTCTCGTCCTCTTCGTCGTCTCCATGGAGATAAGGTTAAACTCAAATCCTTTTATTTCCCTGCATGAGTAGCAATCGGACTTGGGGAGGGGGTTGGTTTTGATGAACCCTCAGTGATGTGATTTATCTCAATATAACCAGGAATGGAAGATCGGACCCACGGTGATGACATTATGTGAACATCTCTTCGTGAGCTTTGCAATTCGCATACTCAGACAGCACGCGACTAAGGTCATTTCAGGTCTAAGGCCAAAGAGAGAAGAAGCAGAGGCCGAGACTAATGACACTGATTCCAGTACTGCAATCGTACCGCTACTTAGTGACAAGAAGAAAAAGAAGAAGAAGAAGATGAAGTTTATGTGGAAAGCTGGTATTGGCAATTTCGTGGCTTCAGGTATCGTTGCTTACATCGACGGACGTTTGTGTCGACAGATTCCAAACCCAATAGCTCGTAGGATTGTAAGTGGGTTTCTCTTAAGTTTTCTTGACAAAAGCAATGAACAGTAATTACGTTTTCCGTAAATATTCATTCTCACAGTAGAAGCCATGAATCACAACTTGATTGCTATTGTATAACACAATCACAATTACTAACGCAAATCGAATCCCCGATTTCACAAAACTATCATCCTTGCTATGTAATAATTGGGCAGGGTTGTTAGTTTAATGGGCTTTTAGACTTGACCGCAAGCTATATGAATTTGTTGAGCAGAACAGAAGAAAGGAAAATTTTGTAGCTGATGATCTCGAGCAGTTAAGGAAATCAACGGACGTATTTTTATCACCCCAACCAAAAAACAAAAATGTGAATCCTTTTTCTCGATATTTCCTTTTTTCGAAACCCAATTCTATCTAAGAATCTATATATACATAAATCAAAGGAATGGTGGTCTCCTCTATTGCAACAGTACTCATTCCTACTCGGCATGAATAATGGGTAATATGTTTCACAACTTCATGTCGATTTAGTACCGATTGAATTTGTTTCCATGTTTTTTTCTTTTTTTTGCCATAGAACCAAGATTTTAACTTGATCAATTGTGTAAACAATTTGTAACACCTAAACATTTTCATGTATTTACAATTTAGCAAAAAAAAAAACATTACTCATTCCCCTCTTTCTTTCTCTAGCTCTTCAGTGCTTTTTTTTGTGTTGTTTTTTTTGCTTTAAAAAGATGGCTTTTCCCGATGATTTTCCACCAGAAATCAATACATAGACGCATCTTCCATGGGTATAAGAGCTAGATCACATAGGTTTGGATCACTAATTGTCCACACTTCTCAAAAAAATTGAAATCTCATAGGAGTTAGTCCACCTATTTACGGTGTCACTGTATTTTATTGAATTACTTGTTAAAATCCAATAAACAAACCAAATAAAATTTTAAATATAATTTATTAATCATTAATACAGAGATATTAGTTAGGTATTTTATTAATAGTTTTAAAAGGCAACCCAAGACTTGTTAGAACAGAGCCAAACAGATGACTTGCTACGGAAGGAAGCCGAGCTTCTTCGGGAGTTTGAAATTGTTCTTGAGCAAGAAGAAATTGTATGGTTCCAAAAGTCTCGTGAAAGATGGATTGTTCATGGGGATCGCAATACATCTTTCTTTCATACTTCGACTGTTATAAGAAGAAGAAGAAACAGAATCGATCTGTTAAAAGATGATGATGGTAGGTGGATATCTAACAGCGATGAGTTGGAGAAACTTGCAGTGGCTTATTACCAGAGGCTCTATTCGTTTTCTGATGTAGATCCGGTTGTGGAGAAGCTACCATGTCTAGGGTTTGATCCGATTTCGTATGAAGAAAAACGGGAGCTGGAGAAGCCGTTTTTAGAATCGGAAGTGGTGATGTCTATACAGAAGATGGGAAAATTCAAGGCACCGGGACCGGATGGATTCCAACCTGTGTTCTATCAAGAATGTTGGGATGTTGTGGGTGATTCGGTGGTGCGGTTTGTGCTTGATTTTTTTGCAACAGGAGAACTACCGCAGTCGACGAATGATGCATTGTTAGTTCTCATCGCAAAAGTATCAAAGCCAGAGAAGATTACACAATTTCGGCCTATTAGTTTGTGTAATGTGTTGTTCAAAGTCATCACGAAAACAATGGTAGGGAGGTTGAAAAGTGTGATGAGGAAGTTAATTGGGCCAGCACAATCAAGTTTCATCCCTGGGAGACTGAGTGCAGATAATATAGTAGTGGTGCAGGAAGCAGTCCACTCTATGAGACGTAAGAAGGGACGTAAAGGCTGGATGTTACTGAAACTTGATCTAGAGAAAGATTACGACCGCATTCAATGGGACTTCTTAGAAGACACACTCGTAGCAGCTGGTTTGTCGGCGAAGTGGGTAGGCTGGATTATGAGTTGCGTTTCGGGCCCGTCAATGAATCTACTGTGGAATGGAGATAAAACAACACCTTTTCAGCCCATGAGAGGGCTCCGTCAAGGAGATCCGTTGTCTCCTTACTTATTTGTCTTATGTATGGAGAGACTATGTCATATGATTGACATAGAGACTAGTAATAAGAGGTGGAAGCCGATTAGTCTCTCTAGAGGAGGGCCTAAGTTGTCACATATTTGTTTTGCCGATGATCTAATTCTCTTTGCCGAAGCATCTGTTGCGCAGATTGGGGTTATTCGCCAAGTCTTGGAGAAATTTTGCAATGCCTCTGGCCAAAAAGTGAGTTTGGAGAAATCCAAGATTTTCTTCTCAGAGAATGTGTCAAGGGATCAAGCAAAGTTAATTAGTGAGGCTAGTGGGATTTCGGCAACGCGAGAGCTAGGGAAATACCTTGGTATGCCAATCTTGCAGAAGAGAATGAATAAAGATACTTTCGGAGAGATCCTTGAGAGGATGCAATCGAGATTAGCAGGCTGGAAGAGCCGATGTTTAAGCTTTGCTGGGCGGTTGACGTTGACAAAGGCAGTCTTAACTTCTATCCCTGTTCATGCGATGAGTACCATCTGCTTGCCCCAGTCGATTTTGGATAAAGTTGATCAAGTAGCTCGCAGCTTTCTATGGGGAGCTAAACAGCATGTTGTTTCGTGGAATAAGGCCACGGTTTCGAAATCAGAAGGTGGTTTGGGGATCCGAAGAGCACGAGATATGAACAAAGCATTGATTTCTAAGTTGGGTTGGAGATTTCTGAATGATTCGGAGAGTTTATGGGTGAAGTTATTGCGGAAGAAATATAAAGTCGGTGACCCTCAAGATACATCATGGCTGGTAAAGAAGAGCAATAGGTCTGCGACTTGGCGGAGCATCACAACTGGTTTGGGTGAGGTTGTAGGGCCAGGTCTGAGCTGGGTTCTCGGTTATGGTAGGAGAATTCGATTTTGGTTGGATAAATGGCTATTCAATAAACAGCTAATTGATGGGATTACGGGTGCATTACCGATGGGCTATGAGACAGTCTTAGTTCGCGATATGTGGAGAGATAGACAAGGCTGGGACTTACATCGTATCATACCTTTTAAAACGGAAGAGATTGAGTTGGAATTGCGATCGGTGGTGTTGGACAACATGACTGGAGCGCGGGACCGGTTATCTTGGGGAGCAAGTGACAATGGAGCTTTCTCGGTGAAATCTGCATATGTGATGCTTACTAAGAATAATGAGCCGAGAGAGAATATGGGAAACTTCTTTAACCGTGTGTGGGGAGTGGTAGCACCGGAGAGAGTTTGGCTGTTTCTATGGACGGTGGGGCACCAAGTTCTCATGACGAACTCAGAACGCCATAGGAGACATTTGTGTAGCACGGATTTGTGTCAAGTGTGCAAAAGTGGAGTGGAGACAACCTTGCATATTCTCCGTCGTGATGGTCCGGCTATATCAGGACTCTGGGACCGTATTGTACCTCCGCTGGTTCTGTTCTAACAATAGGTAGGAGCATACTGGGTTTAGGGTTTAGGGTTTAGGGTTTAGGGTTTAGGGTTTAGGGTTTAGGGTTTAGGGTTTAGGGTTTAGGGTTTAGGGTTTAGGGTTTAGGGTTTAGGGTTTAGGGTTTAGGGTTTAGGGTTTAGGGTTTAGGGTTTAGGGTTTAGGGTTTAGGGTTTAGGGTTTAGGGTTTAGGGTTTAGGGTTTAGGGTTTAGGGTTTAGGGTTTAGGGTTTAGGGTTTAGGGTTTAGGGTTTAGGGTTTAGGGTTTAGGGTTTAGGGTTTAGGGTTTAGGGTTTAGGGTTTAGGGTTTAGGGTTTAGGGTTTAGGGTTTAGGGTTTAGGGTTTAGGGTTTAGGGTTTAGGGTTTAGGGTTTAGGGTTTAGGGTTTAGGGTTTAGGGTTTAGGGTTTAGGGTTTAGGGTTTAGGGTTTAGG